GTTATGAAGTAGCAACGAAAATAATGTTATGTTTGGGGGTCACCACAACATGAGGAACTGTATTAAGGGGTCACTGCATTAGGAAAGTTGAGAACCAGTGGTCTAGAGCTTAGGAAGGACTGTTGTTTCAGTAGCCCAGTACTGTTACTCAATGTATAGGTTTCTTAAAACAGACAACTTTGCATTGCTTATACATTTTTATTACTTTTATAATTTTATTTATTTATTAATAACATTTATATCCCACCTTTCTAACCCTGAAGGGGACTCAGAGCGGCTTACAAGACATATGAACATACAATATATTATATTATTAGCATAGTTCAATATTAGTATTATATATTACTATATTGTACTACACCACTATACTGCAATATTATTAGAAATGTTACATGTAATATATAATATATAATTATTATATTATTATATTGTATTATTTTATTATTATTATTATTTACGTCACTTTTATCCCACCCATATCCGCCCGATATGTTCCATCGTCTTAGCCGTTCCTAATTCATATTCCAATTTGAGTTTATCTGGTCATGCCAAAGTTTCAAACGCTTGCTCAAAGAGCCAGGTTTTCACTCTTTTTCGAAAGATCAGGAGGGAGGGGGCCAATCTAATATCCCTAGGCAGGGAGTTCCACAGCCGAGGGGCCACCACTGAGAAGGCCCTGTCTCTCATCCCTGCCAGATGTGCCTGTAAAGCCAGTGGGATCAAGAGCAGGGCCTCCTCAGACAATCTCAACTTCCTGGAAGGAAGTTGAGAGATGTGTTTGGATAGATAAGCTTGTCTGGAACAGTTTAATAATATTAGTATTAATTATTAGTATTATATTGTATTACAATATTATGATCAATATTATATGTACATACAATATATTATTAGCATAGCACAATGCACATACTCTATTAGAATTGATGAAGGATGGAATAAGCCTTGAAAAATTCCCTAAAATGCTTAAAAATGCTCTTAAACATAATTTCAGAAAGTAACTAGAAAATACTTCTTGTTAAACCAATAATATGACTTTATTCCCACTGTCTTTGCTATTATCTAAATGTTCCTTTATTGCCAAAAAAAAATAATAAAAGGTAAAATGTTGCAGGTGAATACCTTTAGTGTTTCTGAGCTCTATGTTCATCCTAACCATCATACCAAGAATGGAAGGATATTTTTGTAGATTTTTTTTCTGTGTCAGAGCGACTTGAGAAAATGCAAGTTGCTTTTTGTAGATGGAGAACATGAGAGTTAACGTCTTCCATTCCCTGTTTTTCCTCCTCAGCCTCTCCGACTGCTCTGCCATTCATCTATCGGCTACTTCACCTTTTCCATCAAGCTCGCTTGGCAGTATTTTCTTCGCACAACAGGCCTCCCCGTCAAGATTAACTGGCTCAGCAAAGAACTATGAGAAGCCAAGCATGTTCAAAACATTGAAGGACAGCACATCAAGTCTTTTTTCAAGGATATAATGTAATCTCATGATCACCATGGCTAAATACAAATTCTCCTTTCTGATGATTTTTTCCCCTCTGTGTGAGAGTCCTTTTTTACAAACTTGAATATCCATTTGAGGTTGCACCCCTCTAAGTTATGTCGAGGCTGTTGACACTTCCAAGTGAACTTTGGGATTAGAGTGTTGAAGGACTTCTCTTCATGTCTCTCTACTTTTAATGCACCTTGTTTCCACAGAGCATTTTTGGAGTTGCTGTGGCCAGATCTCTGGCATTTCATGATACATCACTCTTACTAGACAATTTGAACTGAGTTTTGCCCTTGGCTTAAGAAAAAATGTGCACTTTTTGGGATCATAAGGGCAGAACCAGTGCTTTGGTGTATGGAGCAAGAGAGAATTATCTTGACCTGAATGAATGGTCTCCTTTACATCGTCTGTTTAGTTCTCTTGTGGTCTTACCACTTTTCCACTGTCAATAAAACCATTGAATTTATAACATCTATAGCAAGGAGAAATTGTAGGAATATCTTACTTTTTCCTAGTGTGGAGATGGAATGATGGATAAAGCTGCAATTGCTTGCTGTGATGGCACACCCGAGTCTTTGGGGAAACTATAGTGTCTGGCTTTACTCTGGGGCTGACACCTTCTGTTAAGATTAAGACCCTTAGCAGACAGAGACACTTTGAGGCAAGGTGAAAAGATAAGCAAATGAGTTTACTGAATCAAGATGAATAAAGAGTTAACTCCACATAGGAGAACTTAAAACAATACATGACAAAAGGAGAACTTGCTGGTTGCAGGCATCTTTCTGGAGTCCTTGAAAGTCTCTTTTGCCTCTGGTGCAAAGCGATGGTTATAAACTGCCTTAATCTTCTTTCCTGTGAAGCTTAGGCTGGTCAAAAGCTTCTGTTGTCCTTTGAACTGGTGGTAATAAAATACTGATAAATGCAACAGCATGAGAAGATGCTAAGACTGCCTGTTTGGATTGCTAGTCCTAGGATTCCAGACAATATCCCAAGCCACTGTTATCTGTAACTCTGCTGCAGAAAAAAAAGGAAGGGTCCAACAAAGGTGCTCTATACACGAAACGGAATAGACCAACAAAGGCTGGCCTCTAGGGGTATTTATGTATCACCCAAAAACTAATATAAAGTCCTTTGTCCCACCCTGGTCATTCCACAGATATATAAACCCATTTTCCTACTTCCAACAGACCTCACTACCTCTGAGGATGCTTGCCATAGATGCAGGAAACGTCAGGAGAAAATGCCTCTAGAACATGGCCATATAGCCCAGAAAAACCTACAACAACCCAATATAAAGGAAGTTATCTATACTATTGGGAAGGGCTATAAACAGGGGGAACTGAAGGAGAGGAGAAGGCAGAGCTAAGACTTCACACTTGCCTTCTCTTTACCACGCATAACTGGTTTAAAGGATATGATTAATGTCAGAAGGAGAAATGGGACAACTAATGTGGCTTGCCTCAATAATATATTAAGGCCTTTGAATGAAGAAGTGCTTGCTGGTTATGTTACAGGGGTATAGTTTTAAAGACAGAAATTTTAAATCTGCCATTGCTCTTACCCCCATTCAATGTATATTTAAAATATTTTTTTAAAAATCTGAGTAATGTTCTTATATGATTAGAAGCATTTAATTGGGATGTAGATTTAATTTGAATCTATTTATTTACTGTATTTATATATTGCTCCTCTCAGTTCAGAGGCGACTCGGAGTGGTTCACAATTGGCAACAATTTGATGCCTCAACAATTATAACAAAACAATCATAAAATATTGTTTAAAAACATTACCATACAATATAAAAATATAAAAAACCGTACAGAGCCTTAAAAACATTATCTGGTCATGATCCAGATTTAATTTATCAACACCCAAACCTATTGAACTGAAAGTATGATGATAACAGGCTGGATCCCAAATTGAATTTTCTGTCGACTGTGCTTAATATCTTCTCTAGATTTAGTCTTAGTGTAAATTCACAAACTGGTTCATCACAACAGCATAGTTACTTCTGATGAAAAAGTGAGCTCTAGTATCCTGTTCTTGGTCCTGCTGCCTTCGCAGGCGCGTCTGATGGAAAAGAGAGTCATGACCTTCTCAGTGGTGGCCCCTCGGCTTTGGAACTCCCTCCCCACTGATATTAGAGCAGCCCCCTCCCTCCTGGCCTGCAGAAGGAAAGTGAAAACCCGACTCTGGGGTCAAGCCTTTGGAGATTAACTTCAGTGCAATCATAACTGAAATACGTGCAATGATTCTTGGAATGGCCTCGCATTACGATTGTGGATGGCATGATTTGTAATAGTGATTCCAATGTTTTATATGGTTTTAATGTGCATTTAATTTTAATTTTAAATCTTTAACTTAATGTATTTTAACTGTTGTTCAAAGGCATTGAATAGTTGCCATATGTAAAGCCACCTTGAGTCCTTTTCTGGGTAGAGAAAGGCAGGATACAAATAGAGTAAATCAATAAATCAATAAAATGGCCTTTCTAGCCAGTTCGGGTAGATAGCAAATAACAAAGGAGACAAAATGAGAGGGCATTCTATGTCATCCACAACTTGGTTTCCAAGAAATTGGCTCCTATACACCATCCTGTTAAGAGGTCCAGCAGATGCACCTGCCAGGGCATAACAGTTTCTCAAATTAATTGTTAGGTCTTTTAATAATGTCCTATTTTGCATATTTTCTCTCTCTTGCTTTTAATAGATTAATTTTAATTGGTTTTAATTATGTGGGTAATTAATTTTGGTAACAGCAACAACTTCTTGAGTATTTTTATTTGTAACTTTGCGTTTTTAACTAATTGGACTAATTTTTGTAAGACACCTTGAGTCCAAGGAAAAGGCATGATGTAAATGAACCACAGATACCACCACCAAAATTGTTTCAATCCACGAAACTGGTCAGAAGACAAGTTGGAAAGCATTTTATCATAGTCGGCACTCCACGTTTGTGAGTTTAACTTCTCCTAACTTGCTGATTTGTAGATTTAGTTATTACTTTCTTTCTAGGAATCTCTATGTCCTCAAGTGTAACTCTTGCAAAAGTTGACCCTACAGTTGTGCTGGAGGATCTAGAGCAGAGCTTTCCAAGCATTTCGTGTTGGTGACACTCTTTTTAGCCATGCATCATTTTGCAACACGGTAATTTAGTTTAATTACCAAACTGGAGGTTAAATAGATCCCTTACAAGAGAAATGGACACATACGTTACAATAACTAAACATATGGGGACATAACATATCTCAAGAAAACCTATAATCTATATTTTTTAAAAATACATTATTTATTACCTATTTTGCATAGACTCAGCTTTGTATGACACAACAACACACTGCAGCTGATACAGTAATGCGTCACAATACAGTTTGGAAAGCTCTATTCTAGAGGGATGTTCTCTCTGGTAAAAAAGAGGGTTCTTTTAGTTGTGTTTTTTTCCCACTTTCACAGGGATCTAGTACTGGAATTCAACCCCACACTGCCCAAGTCTCAAGTCCTCAATGAGGAGCAGTTAGTTTAGTATAGATTAAGGGTTTTCCTTCCTCCATGTCTCCTGTATGACAGTTGGGAATGTATATATTTCTTCTCCTTTGTTTCTGCTTTCATTCTGATTGGTTGTGTAGAATGGATACTTTTCTACTGCAAGCCTTTACATTGACTTCTGTTTTCTTGCATCAAAGCTGTGTGCTTTGAGATCTCTCTCTGCGTGTGTGTCAGAGAGATGTCGTGACTGGTGTTTTTCCCCTCTCTTTGAAACTTTAGAAGAGATGAGTGTTTAGAGTAGCTCAGACCCAATTCTTGATTATTAAGAAATTGAGTTATTTCTTATTATTGTAAATAAACCTTTTGCATCTTTGTCTGCGTAAGCTCTAAATTCTTTACATCCACAACCAGCGACACTTCACACTTTGGGCGTTAATAACCTGATGCTCAACTTTTAAGTGTCCTGCTTGTTTCGGATGCTCTGCCATATTTTAGGGTAGTTTTCCATAACATCTAGTGCCCCTAACCTTCATGAAAGTGGAGGACCTATTATAAGCTCTTTTATCAACAAAAGCTTGGAATTTCAAATATTGGAATTCCCTTGAGCAATTTTCCAAAGCATTATAAATGCCATAGCTGCATCCTATGGGTCTTGACATTTGTAGTGTAGTGAGGTCCTGGAGCTCTGATTGGGAATTTTAAATGCTCCTTCCCTAAAGCGTATGTTGCATGATCCCACTGAATGAAACCATAGGAGCTAAAATGCAACCATTGTATTATGGTCATGGTGTGTAATTGCTTAGGGGTGCATCTACACTGTAGAATTAATGCAGTTTGACACCACTTTGCCATGGCTTAATGCTATGGAATCCTGGGAGTTGTCGTTTTTAAAAGGTCTTTAGCCTCTGCCAATGAGTACTAGCGTTTCACCAACTATAAATGATTCCATCGCATTTAGGAGAGAGCAGTTGTTTCCATGTCCTGCTGATGGAGTTCTTCAAGGAATTTTCACTCAGATTGGCCACTGTGTAAACAGAATGTGAGACTGGATAGCTATGGAACTTGGGGGGCCAAACCTCTCTAAACTGGGAGGGCTGAGCCCCCTCTTACACGATCAGGCAAAAGTAGGCCATCAAATCTCTCATATAGCTTAGCATTGCAGGAATAGTCAATTAAAAGTGCACCAGAAGATCATTATTTGGATGGTGATTGTTTAATGCAATGTATTCTGTGTTTACATTAAAATTAATAATGGCCTTTCTGCCAATTTTAAGCTTGCATCTATCGCCAAAAAAAAAGTTTCAAGGTCCCTATGAGTCTGATCCCACATTGTGGTTCTTATGTTCTAAGTATTCAGGTCAACTTTCTTGGCATGTATGTTGCTATATGCAGGGTTGTCCACTCTATATGGGGGAGGCATGCAAATATACGACCTGTTATCTTCAGTCTGGAGTGGGAGTGTCCAAGAAAGATTTGACTACTTATGTCTACTCAAAGAACAAAACTAGAGAGAGAGATAAAGAGGACTCTGCAATGTTCATCATATGTACACTTGGATGCTGTTGAGCCCACCTGGGAGCTGGTGTGTGATTTCAGTGTTGTGCATGAAAGAGCAGGGGAGGAGAGGTGGTTGCCAAGGGTGATTATGACCTCTTACACTGTGATGCCTTAGGGTGATCCCTAAGGATGCGATGCATGGCTTGAGCCTCTTGGCACCAAGCTGCTTAGAACCAAGTCAGCAGTAGGAACATCAACATCCATAGCTGCTGTTGTTAATCAGAAAGGGGAGTTTACACCTCACTGGAGGCACCATGGTAAGGAGGGGAGGGGAAAATGACTTCCCTTCCCATCAGGATAGGTCCTGGGTTCCAGAAAAGTTGAGATGCTTTTCTTTGCCACCTGCTTTCCTCTGGGCCTCTTCCAGTGTGATGAACCTTTGGTGCTCCAGATGTATTAGGTTCATTCCCATAGTCCTTTTGCATCCTGGGTAGACCAGTGGAGAGTTAGATTTCAAGACCATCTGGAACGCCAAGGTTTCCTTGTACTTGTCAAGAGAATAAAAGAACAAAGGCTAGATATTGATATAAGCAATGTTCTCATGTTGATGCAGCACAGAATTGTAGTTTCAGCAATAGTCAACTTTCTGTATCCACAGATTCTGTATCTGTGGATTCTGCCATCCATAAAAATCAAATCTTTGTTTTCCCATTTTATACATCTTACTATGTCTTTGTATATAATGGGACTTGAGTATCTAGCCCAGGTTCCAGCCCAGCTTACCTATCCAAACGTATCTTTCCCTACGAACCTCCCAGGAATTTAAGATCATCTGGGGAGGCCCTGCTCTCGATCCCGCCTGCCTCACAGCCGTGTTTGGCAGGGATGAGAGACAGGGCCTTCTTAGTGGTGACCCCTCGACTGTGGAACTACCTTTCCAGGGATATTAGATTGGCCCCGGATGGATGGATGTATATTATGGCACCTAATTGTTGCCAGTTTGTATGCCGCTTTGAGTCACCTTCAGGCTGAAAAAAGAAGGATAAAAATGCTGCAAATAAATAAATAAATAAATAAACAAATAATATCCATAGGTTTCAATATCCACAAGGAATCCTTAACCAAACTCCAGTGGAGGATGACAGGGGCCCACTGTATATATAAAGCACTTCAAATTACTCCTGATAGTTACTTTCAATTATGTGTTTGTTCAGTCTATATTTGAATATCTTCAAGATTTTGTACTAGTCTTGGATACATATGCTTATATAGCTATGTAGAGGCACAATAATGACCGTGTCACGCAAAATAGTGTCTATTATGTATTTTGTGTGGGATCTCTGGTGGCACAGCAGGTTAAACCGCTGAGCTTCTGAACTTACTTACTGAAAGGTTGGCAGTTTGAATCCGGAGAATGGGGTGAGCTCCCACTGTTAGGCCCAGCTTCTGCCAATTTAGCAGTTCAAAAACTTGCAAATTCGAGATCAATAGGTACCGCTTTTGTGGGAAGGTAATAGGGCTCCATGCAGTCATAATCTTGGAGGCATCTACGGACTATGCCAGCTCTTCAGCTTAGAAATGGAGATGAGCACTACCCCCAGAGTCGGACTCAACTAGACTTAATATCAAGGGAAACCTTTACCTATGTATTTTGTGACCTGGCTCTATTTTCCGTTCTGTAGCGTGAATGCATCTCAGTTCATGTTGGCCAAGCTGGGGTTCAGATTGGCAATGCATGTTGGGAACTCTTCTGCCTGGAGCATGGAATCCAGCCGGATGGAACATTCAAGGAAAATCCCGTAAACATCAGCGATGATTCCTTTGCTACATTCTTCAGAGAAACAGGCACGGGAAAGCATGTGCCAAGGGCCATCATGGTGGATTTGGAGCAAACTGTAGTCGGTGAGTGCATAGTGAATACAGGATTAAAGGAAGGCCACTGCTCTGCATCATATAGTTGACCTTTATGGCTTTCTACAGATTATGAATTCTTTCTCTATGTACTTATGCTTCATTTCTACTTCTTGGTTTGAATCAGTTTAGGAATAAAATATAATGCCATGCTCTGTCAACAATACTGGTTTACTTGTGAGCTTAATTCAGTGCAACCTTTAAAGCTTCATATAGATCAGGCATGGGCAAACTTTGCCCCCCCCCCAGATGTTTTGAACTTCAACTCCTATAATTATGGGAGTTGAAGTCCAAAACACCTGGAGGGCCAAACTTTTCCCATGCCTGAAATAGATTATGATTAAGATATTTAAAGGAACTGTCCAATTCTGGGCACCATATTTGAAGAGAGATATTGACAAGCTGGAATGTGTCCAGAGGAGGGTGACTACAATGATCAAGGGTTTGGAGAACAAACCCTATGAGGAGCAGCTCAAAGAGCTGGGCATGTTTAACCTGAAGAAGAGAAGGCTGAGAGGAGATATGGTAGGCATGTATAAATATGTGAGACGAAGTCACAAGGAGGAGGAAGCAAGCTTGTTCTCTGCTTCCCTGGAGACTAGGGCAGGGAACAATGGCTTCAAACTACAAGAAAGGAGATTCCATCTGAACATGAGGAAGAACTTCCTGACTGTGAGAGCCGTTCAGCAATGGAATGCTCTGCCCCAGAGTGTGGTGGAGGCTCCTTCTTTGGAAGCTTTTAAACAGAGTCTGGATGGCCATCTGTCAGGGGTGCTTTGGATGCAATATTCCTGCTTCTTGGCAGGGGGTTGGACTGGATGGCCCATGAGATCTCTTCCAACTCTATGATTCTATGTCTTTAACAAACAGTTCAATAATCTATAAAGATTTTCTATCGTTGTTATCAGTGGCCCAGAGAAGTTCCTGCCGGCAACTGAAATAATTCTGCAACACTTAGTTTGGACTTATGGTATCAAAAGGTTTGCAACTTGATGTTATCAGTAGGGCCAGTATGCAAGTGAGACAAGCAAAATAATAGAAGGCACACAAAATGTTTGATGGAACACATATTTCCTGGGAAAATTGAGCTGATGATGGAAGAAGATGTATCCCAGATACCATAACAAAGGCAAAGTAACTTTATTATAGTAGTTATCTGGCTTCTAGGTTACAGTTAATAAACCAGACTGCCTTCAAGTGTTGGCTGTCCTTACATTAAAGTTTAGCATCTTTTTTGGTCTGTGTTTTGATCCTTTTTGTTTGTTTGTTTGTTTAACTTTTGCAGATGAAGTGCGATCTGGCACTTACCGACAGCTTTTCCATCCAGAACAGCTCATCACCGGCAAGGAAGACGCTGCCAATAACTATGCCCGTGGTCACTATACCATTGGAAAAGAAAGGATTGAGATGGCATTGGATCGCATTCGAAAACTTGTATGGCATGATTAATTTAATAGGACAGTTTCATTTTGGCTCACCCTGGGATACTTGGTGGAAAAAAAACATGCCATAAAGACTAAGGGGTCTCTTTTCCTCAAACAGATGAGCATTGGAACACAGTATGGCAAGATTCTAAGACGATTGGGGCACCTAATTGTTTAATACGTTTGCAGGAGGGGGAATTTCTGATGCCCTAATTTTTCCTGTTCCAACATAATAAGAACTCCCCCTTCTTTGAAATCCACATTCATGGTTGCATTTCCTGGAGATCAAGCCATACATGTAGAAAACTGTATCAAATGCTGGATCTTCCAATCAGGGTTGGTGTATCCTATACTACAGCCCTGACAAAAACTGTCCTCCCCAAACTTACTTTCTCTGTTACTTGAGAAAGGAAGTTCCAATTAACACCTTAGGCTCCTTCACTTTTAGCTTTCTTGAATGCACTTATAATACACAAAAAGCTGGTTGTTAAGCATCCTCTTCATGGCATTACTTAAACATTGGTACTAATATTGTCTTCCCCCACTAATCCTTAATTCTTATCCAAAGAGAAAGGCATGTGGGCTGAAGTCAACAAATCTCAGGTTAGCCATTAAGAGTTTGACTTTATATTGTATTTTCTAGCAAGAACAGCGAGAAATATGTTAATATATAAATCCTCATATCATCTAATATTATATATGATGTCCATACCAAAAAAGAGATGCTTTCCTCTAATGTTGCTGCCCCATGATTTTTAATTCTCTTAGAAAAGGTAAAGGTTTCCCCTGCCATTAAGTCTAATTGTGTCCAACTCTGAAGTGTGGTGCTCATCTCCATTTCTAAGCTGAAGACCCTGTGTTGTCCGTAGACGCCTCCTAGCCAGAAAGATTACACGGAGTGCTATTACCTTCCCACAGAAGCGGTACCTATTGATTTATACACATTTACATGTTTTCAAACTGATAGGTTGGCTGAATCTGGGGTTAACAGCTGGAGCTTACCCCGCTCCCCAGATTTGAACTGCCAACCTTTCAATCAGTAAATTTAGCAGTTCAGTGGTTTAACCTGCTGTGCCACCAGAGGGCACTTTTAAATCCTTTTAGCCTATTCAGAAAGGTCAAAATAAACCATTGTTTAGTTCTCCTTGAAGCCTACCACTGAAGATACACATGAAGAATCTTGTATTTGAAATCTCTTACATTTATGCAGAAAACAACCATCTAAATTCTGGTCTTCTTTTCAGGCTGACACTTGCTCTGGTCTACAAGGATTCCTGATTTTTCACAGCTTTGGTGGAGGCACAGGCTCTGGCTTTACCTCCTTGCTGATGGAGCGCCTGTCTGTGGACTATGGCAAGAAGTCCAAACTGGAGTTTGCCATCTACCCAGCTCCACAGGTTTCCACAGCAGTTGTGGAGCCCTACAATTCCATCCTCACCACCCACACCACCTTGGAGCACTCGGACTGTGCCTTCATGGTAGACAACGAGGCCATCTATGACATTTGCCATCGTAACCTGGACATTGAGCGCCCCACTTACACCAACCTGAACCACCTCATCAGCCAAATTGTCTCCTCCATCACAGCTTCCTTGCGCTTTGATGGTGCCCTCAATGTGGACCTGACTGAGTTCCAGACCAACCTGGTGCCCTATCCTCGCATCCACTTCCCATTGGTGACCTATGCACCCATCATCTCCTCTGAAAGAGCCTACCACGAGCAGCTCTCTGTAGCTGAGATCACCACCTCCTGCTTTGAGCCCAGCAACCAGATGGTTAAATGCGACCCTCGCCATGGGAAGTACATGGCCTGCTGCATGCTCTACCGTGGTGATGTGGTGCCCAAAGATGTCAACGTAGCAATTGCTGCTATCAAGACTAAGAGAGCTATCCAATTTGTGGATTGGTGCCCCACTGGCTTTAAGGTGAGGAGGGATAAAATGGTATTTTCCTTCATGTTGGAAAGATCATTGTTGTGACCTTCAATAGACCTTTATTATAAATTGTTTTATAACACATGTTAGAGATTTTATGTGCATGCTATGAGCTAATTTTTTTGTATAATTAGAATGCAGTGGGGATGTTGGTAGGAGTGGATACAGTATTCCAGGTGTCACTCCATGTGAATCCTAAAATGTTTCAGGGTTGGCTTAACATATTTTGAAATGCTTAATATTTTCAGGCCCATTATCAGCTAAAGAGGCAACACCCACCCCTTAAGACAGAGATGGACAACACTAGGAAGGAGTAAAACCCAATTTCCATACCTTCAGTGGGAAGCCGCACCTTTTTTCTAGCTTTGCTTTTTGGAATGAGGAAGCTACAATGAGACTTCATCTTTCCCCACACAGCAATTTCAGTGGGAGAGACATCAATATTACATTGCTAGTGAATACAAAAAACATGTCCTCAATGGCCTTCTTTTCTTGCCCCAATGTCTGTGCTTTAGCAAGTTGTTAGATACTGTGCTGTTTTCATCGATCCCTTCTTCCATCTTTAAAACAGGATTGCTCTGACAGTCTGTAGATGCCATGTGGGGGATTATTTTGGGTAATTTTTACATGAAGAATTATTTCTAGATGAACTCTTCCTAATGCTAGCAATCAGAGGCATTTCACAGCGATTCCATCTGTTTCCCCTTTAATGTATTTTCTGCAATAAGAAATAGGATGGAAGTATTAACAGAAAGTGTGAACTGTTTATAAGTGGAAAATAATAATGCCTGGAGACTACTGACCTTCCCTTGCCTCAGGCAGGGCCATAGCAAAAAAAAAAAAAATTCAGGATGGGGGATTGAACCTTTTTTTTAAGCAAATCATGAAGAGTAGTTCCATAACACAAAATAATTGAAATAGTATGGTTCTTTCTATATTTTTATATAGACTTAATTACTTTTCTGTTTTAGTTATAAAGTTTCAAGTCTTAAAATAACTGAAAATGTGGTAATTTATAGTGACAAAAGAATCCAATAACGTCTGTTGGAAACACTTGAAAACTGTGTCAATACACTTTGACAGAAATCAGGCTCCATTGATAAACTTCTGTGGACACTCAAGAGTTCAGTCAGCCTTTCTTGCCCCTTTGTGCTTCTTATGAAGGTTTTCAAATGTTTAAGAGTTGAAAACGACCTATATAGAGACATAGCAATGGGAACCCTATTATCTGCAAAAGGGAAGGAGGGGAGCAAGAAGGGAAAGGCCTAATTTCCCATTAGGAACCTGCCTCCTACCTGATGCTGAAGCAAAGAGCACATCAGGCGGGCAGAGCAGCCTCAAATAGCCTGCAACTCCACCCTTGTGAACCGCCCCTCCCCCCCACACCAATTCTGGTCTCCTTCATGAGCCCCACCCCCAATGCCTTAGACTTTGCCTGCCAGTTATGGGTGGGCCAACTTGGTTGCTTCCACTATATCAGCTATTGCTGCAAGTAATGACAGTGTGAATAAATTAATCAAAATATGCTTGAGATAGTGCTTGCAGTTCTGGAGGGACTTATTTAATTTTTGCTTCTCATAGACTTAGCCTGGGGATTTGGCTAACCAGTTGAAATTCATAAGTAAACCAGGTTTTTTAAAACCCTGGCCTCAGGTAAATTCTATGAATGAGCTAAGATGATATCATGATAAAAGCTTCAAAAGCTCCAAGATTATGATCAATTTTTACTACAGAAATGTCAGTAAGTAGAGAAAGATCATGCTACACCCATAGGGAATTATGGGTCCATGGGAATTTTCAAAATATTTTTTTCATAAAGTATTTTACTTTAGTCCAGTGGTCCCCCATTGGGTCTCCAGATGTTGTGTGATCCTACCTTCCAAATTTCCTGAATGTTGACCATGTGGCCTGTGGCTTCTGGAAGTTGCAATCCAACTTCTGGGGTTGGTAATGACTGTTTTAGTCTTTCCCCCCTTTTCTATGAGTCAAGTTAATGATGATGGTTTGCTCTGACACTGTTTTCCCTCCTGTACACCCTTCTCTTTCTTCCAACCCAACCAGGTTGGCATCAATTACCAACCCCCTACTGCAACCCCTGGAGGTGACTTGGCCAAAGTTGAGCGTGCCGTCTGCATGCTGAGCAATACCACCGCCATTGCCGAAGCCTGGGCAAGGCTCAACCACAAATTTGACCTTATGTTTGCCAAGAGAGCATTTGTGCACTGGTATATCGGCGAAGGCATGGAAGAAGGGGAGTTTGTAGAAGCTCGAGAGGATCTGTCCGCACTGGAGAAGGACTATGAAGAAGTGGCAACTGACTCCTTTGACACCATACTTGACAGCGAGGAAGTTTAAGAGTCTGCTCCTCTCTATGTACCAAATTGTCTCTATCTTTTTTCCCCTATGTTCTTTGACAGCAAGTTTTGGCATTCAGACCAGGCTGGGTTTCAGCTTATGTGTTACACTTTGTAGCAAAATTTGAAACAATTTCTGTTCCTGGTTTGAAAGTGTTATTGTACTCCAGAAACTTTGTTTTTGTGACTGCCACAAACTGTGTTGAATTGGTTGAGATTTAGATATTCCTATAGCAAAGTGTGCTGCAGGATGTTTTGCAAAAACAAAGTTTTTGCAGTTTAACAAACATTTTCCATGTTTTTATGATAGATCCAATTAGGAAATTACATTTATAACCCAGGGACAAAAATCGCCAGCTTTGTCGGACTTTGGCTGTTACCTTTTAGGACCACACCCCCCAGAGCTTTCCAGTGACCATGGCAGCTAACTGGGTGATTTTGGAAGTTGTGGTCCAAAATGTTTCAAAACTCTGATAAAGCCTCCTGGCACCATTGGGCCAGAACAGGTCACATCAAATCTTGACTCCCTTGAAAATTTCCGTGTCAGCTTTGTTTCACTGACCTGAACAACTGGAGAACTCATGTTTTTGAGCACAAAACACATCAGCTTCAACCTATTTTGCTTTCAGCTAGACCAGCGTTTCTCTGGGAGGGTCGCAAGGGGGTTTCAGTGGGGTCACCAAAGACCATCATAAATTTCTGATGATCTTAGGAACCCCTTTGGCAGAGAAGGCTGAAGATCTCTCCACCTGTCCTTATCTTCCTTTTTGGAACCAGAGGGTGAATCTTCCCACCAAAAGCCCTCCTCTGCTGTGATTGGCTGGCCTCTTAGCCAAGGGAAGGGCTTTTTCTGAGACACCAAGTAGGGAGGGGAGAGCAGGCATGCTCGGTGCATGGCAGCATGGTGCATATGCATGGGTGAGGGAAAGCATGCAAGGTGGGAGGGAGGCTCATGCCAGCGAGTCCCTTCAAGGCATGAGGCTTCTGTGTGGGAAGTTTGACCCAATTTTATGGTTGGTGGGGTTCAAAATTCTCTTTGATTGTAGGTGAACTATAAATCCCAGCAACTACCACTCCTAAATGTCAAGGTCTAATTTTCTGTTGGGATTTATGTGTGCCAAGTTAGGGTCAATTCCATCATTGGTGGAATTCAGAATACTCTTCAGTTGTAGGTTAACTATAAAGCCCAGCAACTATAACTCCCAAAAGACAAAATCAATCCCCTCAACGCCACCAATATTTAAATTTGGGCATATTGGGTATTTGTGCCAAATTTGGTCCAGTGAATGAAAATACATCATGCATATCAGATATTTACATTACAATTCATAATAGTAGCAAATTATAGTTATGAAGTAGCAATGAAAATAATGTTATGGTTGGTGATCACCATAACACGAAGAACTGTATTAAGAGGTTGTGGCATTAGGAAGATTGAGAAACACTGAACTAGTCAGTAGGAGCTGGTCTGACCAGATGTCCTCCTAGCAAAGGAGAGCTTTTTGATCCAAAATAGGTGGTAGGGCAGGTAATTATGCCTGTTTGCATGCCCTGGGCTACAGCTCGCCATTTTTCTGGTGGTGTTTTTCACTAGTTCCAGAGGGCTGAATTTTCTCTGTTTTCGCTTTCTTCCCATTTTAGGAGGATATTGGGCATGAGTTCTACCTGCACATGCTAGTTTAGTAGATTATCTTTTGAGGCTCTTGTTCCTGGGAGGGTCCCAGAATTTCCTTTTGTGATGTGACCATCCACAGGGACATCCAAGGCCAATGGAATCTTGTTAAAATAAAATATTTGCCTATACAAACTACCACACCATCAATTGCTGCAATGGGTATTGGGCGGAACCTTGTTTTGAATGGAACAGACCAACATAAGGGAGCATACCATAATGAGAAGAAAGGAAAACAAAAGACAATGAACTTATAATATAAATGAGCAAAATTTTCAAGTACAAAGAGAATAAAAATAGAATATATGAAAAATTGCAATCAGAATGTTATCACCAAATTGGAGTGGTACAGACATACTGCTCTTCATCTGGGTAGTGCTAAATGCATGGAAATAAATGGTGGGACAGAAGGGCATACAAAAATGAAGTGTCACTCTAGGCCACCTAGATGTCCTATGAAACAGACATACTAATAGTCAAAAAACCATTATGATTACAACCATTCAACCCTCCAAATAATGTTGGTTGCAACTCCCAGTAGCTCTAGCCAGCATAGCCAATTGGAAAGAATGCAATCCAGCAACATCATGAAGGCTGCATGTTGTTACATAAGTAAATATGTGGTCATAAATATATTCATCAACAGGCTGATAAGGACACTGTGGAAACCCTGGGAACTCAGGGCTAATGTTTCCATTTCAAATCCTCCTTTTGTCATGAATGACTTTTCAATAACTTTAAAGCATAGGTTCTTTTTATTGCAATTTCCCATGTGAGAGGGTATATCAGATTACAGAAAAACACTTAGACAAAGAATGACATTGGACATACAGACATACAGATTCTATGCAACTATATTGGATTTACAATTACATGGCTAACAAACAAACAAAGGGGAATTACATTTTCACTCAACATTCACACCACATTTACATGCATTCATCCTTAGGCACCCAAATATTATTATATCTTTTTCTCCCTCCTTGGAGAGGCACCTGTTAGGTTAGATCCTGCTTTCCTGCAGCCTGTCAATGTACAGTTCAAAAACTTCCATAACTTCAAAACTTCTCTTTCTCTAAGAACAACGCCAAGGACCAGATCTCTGTTTTCCATACAGCAGAACTTGATTTCCTGCACAAAATCCAAGACTCCAAAAGCACACTTCTTCCTCTTCCCTTGAAAAAGAACCCCCAAAGTGTCCAGAATCATGCTTTCCCATAGCATATCTGACACTCTCCGAATACACCATCTCTCTCCTTCCCATGGAGCAGAGCATGGCGGGTGGAACAGACTCCTCAGGTCCGCCACACTTTGAGCATTATTAGACTGAGTCTTTTATAGGAATATTCTGCTGATGTAGTTCCAAAGTTGTAAATTAATGATATACATCTTCTATCCTGGCTCCATCTCAGTTTCCTGGCCAGATGTTGATCTTCTTGATTGGTGTTGACAAACACAAGGCTTGTGTTGACTTTCTTCTTAACATAAGGAATGTTGCAAACATTTCCTTAACTTGAAATAATCATTGCCACAGTTCTTATCACAGTTTACTTTCCAGTTCTTATTAGCAGGTTTTAATCAGTCCAGCAAGCAGGTCATTGAAGGCTTTAATATTATACTGGTGTCTCCAAAATTATTAACTCCATCCATACATCCTTATATCATATTAAAGTCACATTTCTCAAATCTTTGTATTAAATTTTTGTGACACTTTGGTACACAAGAAATGTTAACTGAAGTATGAAGACGGTATGGCAGAGTGAGGAGAAGGCCAAGTTCTGTCTAGCAGGGGATGGCCTTTTGGATGAGTGAGCATCTTTTGTGTATTTTATGCTCGGGTGGGTCTCCTATGCTTAATACATAAACACACAATTTTTTAGAAGAAGTGGCATCTTTTGTTGATTACAGTTGTAGTTAGGATTGCTTTGTGCACAGGTCTGGATCCAGGCACTGACCAACCCATCAGCTGATTGATGCGCCCAAACTTCCGGCTGACCGCTCAAACTCTTGGCCTCCCTGCATTTCCCCCTTACTACCAGGGATGTGAGAATGGCCTCCATCCCAGAGAGGGGCCAGACAAATTTTGGTGCACTCTCCCAAATCTTTAGTAGGAGGATCCCATATACCTATTCCCATTGATAATTACTGTTCTGTATCCAGGACTCATGCCACTAGCTTATGGGGGGAAGGAGGTGGTATGGAGGAGGTATTCTGCCTTCTTGGCCAGCCTGCTGCACAACGCTGCTCACCTTAAGCTACAAATGAGTTGCATGAGTAAGTTATACAGTTCTCTTAGAATTATTGTTACATGCAGAGGGATGGATTTTGGGTACTCTCAAAATTTGCTGCCTAACAAATCTGGCAATAAGCAGCTCTTAGCTGGCATTGCAATTCCTAGTCATACAGCTGGGCAGCCTGGCATGACCTCAGCAGAAGCAATGTCACCAGCAAACTTCTATCAGGAAGCTGCTTATTGCCAACAATGCAGTGGTGGGTTTGTTGGAGGTGTGGACAGTGGTTCCTGCCTGATTCAGCTGTCCACTGGAAAGAGGGAGTTCTATTACCTCTTGACCCTTGTTAACAGATGGATACAGTGTTTTTGCTATAAATCCAATAACCGTAGACTCCCTGAAGTAGCGAACTGTAAGCATGGCTATAGTTACTCAGTTGTTTCTACATGAGACTTGATGCTCGAATGGAAGAATAAAAGTCTAAAGGAGTGTTTAGAGTATGTTCCCTTAGCTTTGTTGCAATAATTGTGAAATTGTACTCAGTTCCAGCTGATAGGCTTCCTTTGGAAAACAGGACGGCCACTTCATGAAGAAAAGCTGGACTCAAGGGCAGCTGAAAAGCATCTTACTTGCATTATTAGAGCCAGTGAATAGCTTAGGGTGGGGAGGGAATTCAGACCTGCACTGTTCCTCAGTTTCCCCCCTGAAGGCCAAAGACTGTTTTCCCTTTGGCACAGTTACAAATAACTTTCCAATAACTTTAAAGCATGGGTTCTTTTTATTGTAATTTTCCAGTAAGAGAATGGGTATCATAACTTTTTCAGAACAACATTTATACATACAGATTCTATGTAACTACACTAAATTCACAAACAACCTACAGTTACATTGGCTAACAAAGAGGAATTACATTTTAACTCAGCATTCACATTACACATACACATTCATTCATCGTCATGCATCCAAATATTACCATATCCTTTCTAACTCCTTGGAGAAGCACATGCTTAGGCCAGTTCCTGCTTTCTCTGCAGCCTGCCAACACACAGTTCCAAAACTGTGTGTTTTAGATTTTTTTTAAATTCAAACTATGGATAGGTGAATCTGTGGATGAATAAGCTGTGGATATGAAGGTCAAGCTATATTTGAAAGCAGAGTGTAATGTTAGAAAATTACTCAGTAGAAATAGAAACATTACTCAGTAGAAATAGAAACATTTTCATATCCCTCCTTGTTTTGTCAGTCCCATATATTCCCTGACATATTTGTCTCTGTCTATGGTCAATTTCATGGCTCACAATTAGAGTGGTTTGATCCCATATCAACTACTAATCCCAGGATTACACAGGATGGCTCCATCCTATGTAATCCTGGGATTTGTGATTTTGTGAGGTATTTAGAATTCTCTGCCAGAGAGCTCTAGTACCAGTCTCTGCAAAACTATAAATCCCAGAATTCTATAGGATGCTGCTATGGCAGTTTAAGGTGGAATCCTAGTGCTATCATTGTGGGTGCAGAAGAACTCCATGATTGTCTTTCTTTCTCTGCCTATAATTCACATAGCGTGGAAGAATGCTGAGCTTGAACTACCTTTGTGTTCCAAGTAAAAGGGATGCATTTCAGGGGGTATATATATGGCTGTATGTAAAAAGCTGGTGATGTAATTGGGCCAATGTGTGTGTGTGTGTGTGTCTGGTGGGAATTGTGACCTCTTTCCTCCCCTGCTCTATGACACTGAAGGGTAAGAGCAGCTGTTTGGTCCTGGTCCCACTTTGGCTCCTGCACTACAGCTCAAAGTGTGAGTTGCAGAGAAACAGAAACAGAGACTTCTAACTGCAGCTGACCAAGAAAGGAAGCGAGAATCAGCCAGAACATTATGGTAAGAGGGTAAGAACTTATGGGAAAGAGGGTGAGAATGAGAGGAAATGGTATTGCCATACTTCTTCGTGAATTCAAGGAGGCTTACAACAATATGCAAGTTATAGGATAGTGCCCTGAATTATTATTGCTAGGGGCAAATATTAAAGAAGGATTTTATTTCTTCTGGGAATATCAAGGGCATTGTTATATGCTGTCACCGTTGTCAGATTTACAAGTGAAGATGAGATGTTTCTGTTCTTTTCGCTACCAACCTTTTTGACTGGAGTGCAGTATAGAGATAGCTTGTGCTTCCTTATACTCAACACCCCCTATGGCTTATTTATTGTGTAGCCTGAGCCTAAATCAATCAATAGCCAGGATTAAAAAAATGTGGAAATAAAACTGGAATAGTTGTAAGTTCCTGAGTCATTGTGAATTATTGCAGTGTTACTCAAAGTCACATTGACTGCCTGCCGATCCTTGCCAGATTTCAAGAGAGACATAAATTGTGACAAAATATGGTGCTGGTCCCTGGGATATTGGGAGAAAATAATAGTCAGTCCTACCCGTCAACTACTAGCCTGAGAAATTCAACAGATCTAGAGGTCACTAGGTTGTGGGAAGCTGGGACAGAGGATTATTTTTGACAGGAGGCCCACCCAGCTCCATAGCATCAAATTTCTTCATGACCTATTAGAGTTATTGTTATGTGTTTTCAAGTCATGTTGATCTATGGTGACCCTAAGGCAAAGGTTCTCAACCTGTGGGTCCCCAGTTGTTTTGGCCTACAACTCCCAAAAATCCCAGCCAGTTTACCAGTTGTTACAATTTCTGGGAGTTGAAGGCCAAAACATTTGGGAACCCACAGGTTGAGAACCACTGTCGTAAGGTGAACCTATCATAGAATCATTGAGTTGGACGCGACCTCGTGGACCATCCAGTCCAACCCCATTCTGCCAAGAAGCAGGAAAGTTGCATTAAAAGCACCCCCGACATCCAGCCACTGTTTAAAAGCCTCCAAAGAAGGAGCCTCTAGCTCACTCCAGGGCAGAGAGTTCCACTGCTGAACAGCTTTCACAGTCAGGAAGTTCTTCCTAATGTTCGGGGGGAATTTCCTCTCCTGTAGTTTGAAGCCATTGTTCCATGTCCTAGTCTCCAGGGCAGCAGAAAACAAACTTGCTTCCTCCTCCCTGTGACTTCCTTTCACATCTTGATCCATGATCCTCATCATGTCTCCTCTCAGCCTTCTCTTCTGCAGGCTAAACATGCCCAGTTCTTTAAGCCACTTCTCATAGGGCTTGTTCTCCAGACCCTTGATCAGTTTAGTCACCCTTTTTTGGACACATTCCAGCTTGTCACCATCTCCTTTCAATTGTGGTGCCCAGAATTGGACACAGTATTCCATGTGTGGTCTGATCAAGACAGAATAGAGGGGTAGCATGACTTCCCTGGATCTAGACACTAGGCTCCTATTTATGCAGGCCAAAATCCCATTGGCTTTTTTTGTCGCTGGATGACATTGTTGGGTCATGTTTAACTTGTTGCCCATGAGGACTCCAAGATTTGTTCACAAAAAGTGCCATTGCTTCCTCTAAAGCTGAAAGAGCATGACTCGCAGTCGGTCTCATGATGGGGGTCTACGGATTAGGAAAAGGAAGGCATAGCTTGTGCTCATATATTCAACAACAATTTACTGATCGACTCAAATTGGCAAACTAAAAGTTGCATGTTGTAAAGATATGTACCTGTTAATATATACTATTCGGAGGCTCAGATCACTTGTTAATATATAATATGGCTAAACCAATTTTAAAAGGTGCAGGAAAAGTTGGACTTCAAAAAAAGTTTGAAACCCTAGACCAGGGGTCCACAAACTTTTTAAACAGAGGGCCAGGTCACAATCCCTCAGACTGTTGGCGGGCCTGATTATAATTCGAAAAAATAATGCACACTGCAAATATCTTATTTGTAGTGCAAAAAACATTTTAAAACAATACAATTTTAAAAAATATAAACGTATTAGTATTTCAATGGAAAGTGTGGCCCTGCTTTTGGCTGATGAGATAGGATTGTTGTTGTTATTGTGTTCTTTCAAGTAGTTTCATACTTAGGTTGACCCAGAGCGAGGGCCGGGTAAATGACCTTGGAGGGCCGCATCCGGCCCCCGGGCCTTAGTTTGAGGACCCCTGCCCTAGACTAAGGTAGCATTGATATTTATCTCCTTGAGTACTAAAATACAGTTCTATGTTTAATGTGTGAGAAATGAGTAATTTAATCAGAAGTAAGACCCATTGGGTCATATACTGGGATTATTCCTAAACAGGGCTAAATTTTAAGCCTGGTTAGTATAATTTTTCATTTATCTACTGTGTGAAATGCAACTATTACATAGTGGTTAGGTCAAAGTTTATGACCTGAGGAACTTTGTCTGCTGATCGTTGCATCTTACACTTCTGTTAAAAGCATAGCAGAAGGTCAGGCTGATGGTTTTGCTGTCTGGTGGGCAAATATATGATTGTAGGCATGAGTTGGCATGGTATAATGGTTTAAGCATTAGACTGTGACTCTAGAAAAGTATAGCAAAAATACTTTTTAGAACCACAAGGATTGATTTTTGTTTTTACAGCAAATATGGGGACTATTGATAAGCTTGCCTACTAGCTAGTAGGCTGCATTTCATCATTTCAACAAGTTTGTACATGCTGGGTAGGAAATGGTGTGAGAGCTAAAGTAGTAAACCATCTGCCAGTTTTTCTACATTCGAATTGAAATGTATGTATTAAGGTTAGGTAAAAATGATTTCTCCTGAGTCATCATGAAGCCATGTAACTGTTCTGATGAGGTGTGGGAGGAGAAGGAGTGACAGGAAATATTTTTGGGATGCCACTGCCACCCCTTCCCCCAGAAAAGAGTTCAGGCATCAAAAGGCACCACAGCCTTCTTAGATTACACTCCATGGAGAAACCCTGTCTGGCTGCAGTTATATCAAGTCCTAGTCAGAAATAAAAATAAACCCACATGGTACATGGGCTCCTTTCCAAGATCTGTCAGAATTCATATAACATCAAGGCTGTTCTTTGCCATGCACAAGTCTGTACATGGAATCATCCAGAGAAGGCATAGCTGACAGTGAAATTTGCAAGCTTCCTTGACATCAGCATTTTGGGTACTGCAACTGCAGCAAACTCTTTTTCTGCCCAGGCTTTGACCCTTTTCCCCATAATTCAGCATTTTTCAGTTGAGGTAGACACATACCAATTTAGTTATATATTATTGAAATAATTGGGTTTTAATAATGCAATTTTGGACACTTAAAGCATGCCAGAACAACAGAATTCCAAGTCTCTGTCAAGACAATAACATTATATAATAGTTCATCAGATACAGAGCATGTTATTCATGCATGTGTGCATGTACCTGGTGGTCCCATGAATTTCATAGAGCTTTCTTAGGCAAGAAATAGGTGTTTTTGCTAATTCCTTCCTATGTAATATAGCCTGGAACTCATCCATTGCTGGTCTCCCATCCAGATATGAACCAGGGCTGACCTTGCTTAGCTTCCAAGCTTTCAATAGGAGCTTATCCTTTTAGGGCAGTAGTTCCCAACCTTTTTTTGACCAGGGTTCACTTTGATTTTTTTTTGTTGTTAGCAGGGACCACAAGGTTCAAGAATGATAATAATATTTCACGCATGCCTTGCGGACCACTAGTGGTCTGCGAGTTGGGAACCACTATTTTAGGATATTTAAGCCATACATTGGAGCCCCCGGTGGCGCAGTGGTTTAAAGCACTGAGCTGCTGAGCTTGTTGATCGAAAGGTTGCAGGTTCGATTCCGGGGAGCGGCGTGAGCTTCCGCTGTCGCCCTAGCTTCTGCCAACCTAGCAGTTCAAAAACATGCAAATGTGAGTAGATCAATAGGTACCGCTCCGGCGGGAAGGTAACGGCGCTCCATGCAGTCAGGCCAGCCACATGACCTTGGAGGTGTCTACGGACAACGCTGGCTCTTCGGCTTAGAAATGGAGATGAGCACCACACCCCAGAGTCAGACATGACTGGACTTAATGTCAGGGGACTACCTTTACCTTACCTAAGCCATACATTAAGATATACATGTACCTTGCCTGGGAGTTACTATTGTTTGGGAGTTGCTATTAAAAATAGGCCTAATATTATATAAGACATACCATACAATACCATATCATACCATACATATAACATTTTAATATTGAAAGATAGTAATTAAAAGTGGTACTGTTCCATTATCCAGGCAGAGGCCAAAAGCAGGCTTAGATAGAGAAGAATAGTTAATTTTACTGGGGGGGGGGGGGTTGAAGGAGTAAAACCATTTCCCCCTGTTTTCCTGTTACTCCCCCCACCCATATCCCCATCGAGGTAATATCCCTTGTCTATGATATGGGAAGGAGGGAGGTGGAATAACCAGCAAAAATGGAAGGAATGGTTTTCCTCCAGCAACCCCACATAAGATGGACTATCCTTCTCTGTCTAGCGTTCCCTTTTGGCCTCCCCCAATAATGGAACAGTACCTTAAGAGCAAATAAAGATAAACTTAACTAACAATTTTGCTGTATTATGAACACTGATTTTACCATACCATATTATTAATTATAAATATTATGCATTTAACTTTTTTTCTGGTAACTTGAGAGTTTCAGTTGCTTGAGTTCTGGTCAATTGAGGTGCCATCTATACTGCCATATTACCAATGTAGACTCATATAATGCAGTTCAGTGTAGTTAAACTGTATTACGAGTCCACACTGACCAAATAACCACGTTATATGGCACTGTAGATGGTGCCCGAGTGTCTAGTTTATCTTATTCCATCCAGGTTCCAAACAGCTGTTTGTTGAACAGAAAGGAGCGTACCTAACAAGGAGAGAAAATTGTGTTTTGGATTATTACACCACATGCTTTTTTCTCTATAGCCATGGACAATGGTAGACCACTTTGTACAGAACCAACTTTGAGTCCCCTTTGGAGTTTGAGATAGAGTGAGGTAAAAATACAGTGAATAAAGAAATAAATAATAGTTCATACCCCTGTGGGTTTCCCACATGTGCCTCAGAATATCATGCAAAATCTCTCTTTTTGTCTCTGGCTACCAGAAAGAAACAACACTTGGAGAGTTCAATCCATAACATTGTATTTTTGGAACGTGGCATTGGAGTATACTACCAAGTCTGCATTTCCAAAATGTCAACAGTAATGCTCCAACAAAATATATGCTCCAGAAGACTGGCCAGGATAATTAATTGGTGTTATACTGGCTATGCTCATTCTAATATTTTCTTTGTGTTTCCTCTGCAGCGTGAATGCATCTCTGTTCATGTTGGGCAAGCTGGAGTTCAGATTGGCAATGCATGCTGGGAGCTTTTCTGCCTTGAACATGGTATCCAGCCTGATGGCACTTTCGAGAACCAACCCAACAAATTTAACGATGATGATTCTTTTACCACTTTCTTCAGCGAAACACGCACCGGAAAACATGTACCACGAGCCGTTATGGTGGACCTAGAACCAACAGTTGTAGGTGTGTGAAATAATTAGCAAAGGCAAAAGGAAAGATGACTGTTTGGTGTACATCACTGCTGGGAACCAAAGTACAATAGTAACATACAAAGGCAGGCATGTTGCTTGCATCTTTGATAGCGGTACAAAAGAGGTGATTTGTTGAACTCAAATCCCACCAATGCAACTAGAAAGTAGAACCAACTACTTCTGCCTGATACATTTATTCAATTTACAGTAGAGTCTCACTTATCTAACCTTCAGTCATCCAACGTTCTGTATTATTCAACACAGTCTGCCTCCTGTCTGGATTCTCAGCTTTTTCTCTAGGTAGCAATGCGCAGCGGGCCTCTCGGCACACCAGGCATGTGTTGGGAAGGGCGAGATGCAGCCAGTGCACACTTTCCCCATCAGACACAGCGTCTGGCCTGCACCAGCTGCGTTTCGCCCCTCCAGGCAGGCACAATTTGACGTTTAATAGGATTTTCCTTAATCCCTCCATATTTTTTTGTGTCAGGAGCAACTTGAGAAACTATAAGTTGCTTCTGGTGTGAGAGAATTGGTTGTCTGCAAGGATGTTGCCCAGGGGATGCCCAGATGTTTGATGTTTTACTATCCTTGTGGGAGGCTTCTCTCATGTTCCTGCATGGACAGCAGGAGCTCAACCCACTCTCCCACTGAACCACTGATCTGTCGGTCAGCTGTCCTGCTGGCACAAGGGTTTAACCCACTGTGCCACCAGGGATCCCATATCCCTTCTTACTATCCAACATTTTTGCTTATCCAATGTTCTGCTAGCCCATTTATGTTGGATAAGTGAGATTTTTTGCACCAGAAACATCATGTGATGCAGGTTGGAAAATTGAGGAAGGCAAGGGGGTTGCATTGTCCACCTGGGAGAACTTGGAGCGCTGTACTCCCCATCACATGCATACAATTTTGGCAACAAACACCCAGTAGAAGATGTAGGGTATTTTTGCCATATTTTAGCCATTCTGGGTCTCTAGGGTCTAAATTCACTTGGCTGAACAATAAAATTGGGAGAAAATGTGTATAAGGCATTTGAAAGCAAAACGTTGATGGAAATCTATATCACGTTTCACTTAATGTAACCTTATGTGTACTTACCTAACTAGCAAAGGTTCCAAGAAACCCTGTTAGTGGGTTATTGTAGGTTTTTTGGGCTATATGGCCATGTTCTAGATGCATTCTAGAATGCATCTAGAACATGGCCATATTGCCTGAAAAACCTACCACAACCCAGTGATTCCAGCCATGAAAGCCTTCGACAACCTGTTAGTGACTTGCGAAGGGGCATACTGGGATACCAGTAAGTATCATAGAATCATAGAGTTGGAAGAGACCTGAAGGGCCATGCAGAAATACACAATCAAAGCACTCCTGACAGATGGCCATCCAGCCTCTGATTCAAAACCGCCAGAGAAGGAGACTCTGCCACACTCCAAGGCAGCATATTCCACAGCTGAACAGCTCTTACCATCAGAAAGTTCTTCCAAATGTTTAAGTGGAATCTCTTTTCCTGTAGCTTGAATCCATTGCTTCATGTGTTGGGTGCATAGCTCAATGCTATGGAATCCCAGAGTTTGTAGTTTTGTGAGGCACCGGCCCTCTTTGGCAGAGAAGGCTAAAGACCTTGTAAAACTATTACTCTTGTAATTCCATAGCATTTAGCAATGGAAGTCAAGTGTTGTCAAATAGCATTCACTTTACCTTGCAGACTCTTCCCTAGTCTACAGAGCAGCAGAAAACAAGCTGACCCTATCTCCAACATGGCATCCTTTCAAATATTTAAACATGGCTATCATGTCACCTCTTAAACTTCTCTTCTCTAGGCTAAAAATGCCCAACTCCCTCACTCGCTCCTCATAGTGTATGGCATCCAGACCTTTGATCATTTTGGTCGCTCTCCTCTGAACATGTTCCAGCTTGTTAATATATTTCCTGAACTTTGATGCACTTGTACAATGCATAATTATAGCACTTCTATGGCACTTTAACTGCCATTCCATGCTGTGAAATTTTGAGATTTGTAGTCTGGGGAGGTATTAGAGCTCTCTGGCTGGGAAGTCTAAATACCATTTCCTAAACTACAAACTCAGGATTCTAGAGATGTTGCTAAATGGCATTTAAAGTGGAATCATAGCGTTCTAATGGGATCTATGGTCGGTTGCACATTGTTGGCCTTCAGGAAAAGGATGGTACATGAGTAAAGACAAGCACAATGCAGGATCTCAGTTAATTGAACATTTCCATATTACTGAAACATATTCATTAAATATGTCCACAATGTTTCTTTTTGTTATCAGATGAAGTGCGGGCTGGAAGTTACCGCCAACTTTTCCACCCAGAACAGCTGATTGCTGGCAAGGAAGATGCAGCAAATAACTATGCTCGTGGTCACTACACCATTGGCAAGGAGAGCATTGACCTGGTCCTGGATCGTGTTCGTAAACTGGTGAGTTCAAATGTATCTTTTACAATGGACACAGATGAGGTCAAAAAATGGTCAAAAACAGGAGTTCTGGGAACACTTATTTTGTTCATATTAGTTAGCCACTTTGTGTCTGGATCAAGAGAGAAAAGTAGAGCACTACTACTACAACTACTAATGCTATAGTGGTATCTGTGATGACGTTTGTTTAGAGACCAGAAATTTTTAATTATTGCCTTTGAGCAAGCCTTTTCACATCATCTTCTTTGACAAGGAACCTCTGTGTATTTAACTGAGGTGGGAATCAAGTGTTGCTGAACATTCTCCAACACTTGGTTAAGTTGGACAGGGCTTCAAGGATCCGTAATCCAAAAACATCAGTAGAGTTATGTGGTCTCCATCCATGGCTTAACAACACATATTCTGTGTACTTAGACTTTCTTGGGTTACCTTCTAGGCAACACACTTTGTTGATATGAGGATATCTGTCAACTTTACAATATAAATATGTGAGGGGAAGTAATAAAGAGGAAGGAAAAGGCTTGTGTTGTGCTGCCCTGGAGACTAGAAAGCCGAACAATGGCTTCAAACTACAGGAAAGGAGATTCCACCTGAACATTAGGAATAACTTCCTGATTGTGAGTGCTGTTCAGCAGTGGAACTCTCTGCCCCAGAGTGTGGTGGAGGCTCCTTCTTTAGAGGTTTTTAAACATAGGCTGGATGGCCATCTGTCAGGGGTGCTTTGAATACTTCTTGTCAGGTGGTTAGACTGGATGGACCACAAGGCCTCTTCCAACTCTATGATTCTACAATTCTGTGAGTTTACTGTGAATATTTTACATTGATATGAAAGAAATAACAGTATGTTTTTTGCCCAAGAATGTGATAAATAACAATTCTAGTATACATAAACAGCAGATCAGATGGCAAAATATAGACAGAATGCAGATAGGAATCATAACATTTGCACATGACTTCATGGAATAACAAACTGGTGTTAAAATATCATATTTCCATTAATAATTCATACCATAATTACCTAAATTGTAGGGTTTTTTTTAAAAAAAAACTGAAGGTGTGGTATAGTGGTTTGAACAATGATTCTGGAGACTAGGGTTTGATTGTCCTTTTGGCCATGGAAACCCATTTGGTAATCTGGGCTGAGTCACACTATCTCAGCTTCAGAGGAAGGCAAAATCTTGCTTATCAAATCTTGCAAAGAAAACTACAATAGAGTCACCCTAAGTTAGAAATGACTTGAAGACACACAGTGACAAACACAACAATGAAATGCATATGAAGCTATTGAGAAAATGCACTTTAAGCAGGGCTGACAACACCTTAGGGAAGTTTTTGAAAATATGAATAGTTAATCTCTCTTGTAAATATGGTTTTCCTTTCAGACTGATGCCTGCTCTGGTCTACAAGGATTCCTGATTTTTCACAGCTTTGGTGGAGGCACAGGCTCTGGCTTTACCTCCTTGCTGATGGAGCGCCTGTCCGTGGACTATGGCAAGAAGTCCAAACTGGAGTTTGCCATCTACCCGGCTCCACAGGTTTCCACAGCAGTGGTGGAGCCCTACAATTCCATCCTCACCACCCACACCACCTTGGAGCACTCGGACTGTGCCTTCATGGTAGACAACGAGGCAATCTATGACATCTGCCGTCGTAACCTGGACATTGAGCGCCCCACTTACACCAACCTGAACCGCCTCATCAGCCAAATTGTCTCCTCCATCACTGCTTCTTTGCGCTTTGATGGTGCCCTTAATGTGGACCTGACTGAGTTCCAGACCAACCTGGTGCCCTACCCTCGCATCCACTTCCCATTGGTGACCTATGCACCTATCATCTCTTCTGAAAGGGCCTACCACGAGCAGCTCTCTGTGGCTGAGATCACCAGCTCATGCTTTGAACCCAGCAACCAAATGGTGAAATGTGACCCTCGCCATGGGAAGTACATGGCTTGCTGCATGCTCTACCGTGGTGATGTGGTGCCCAAAGATGTCAATGTAGCAATTGCTGCTATCAAGACCAAAAGAACAATCCAGTTTGTGGACTGGTGTCCTACTGGCTTTAAGGTGAGGAGGGAAACATGTGTGTGCTCTGTAGTCTTAAAGTGCTGGAATTATGCTGGATCACATGGTGATGCAAAACATTGGCAGGAACTTGAAGGACACTGTTTAATTGTAGACTGCTTTTTTCTGGAGGAGCTGCCCATGAATAGTACCACAACAGTCCAATTGATTGAGTAATGATTAAGCCACTGTGATATAAACTCATGTAACGCGGCCTAAAAATTGCAATCTCTCACATAATGGCATTTACACCAGTGTAAGGCAGCAATAGGATACCGATTTGAAACTCCAGCAACCAAATACCTTTGGAGTTATTTATTTTGAGAGACCAGAATAGATTAACTGTACCATACAGTGGCAACATAGAGTGGGGCAGTGAATCCACTCCAGGTTTTAATGCTGGCTTTAAAGGAACTATCCAACAGGTTATGTCAGCCATGGGCAAACTTCGGCCATCCAGATGTTTTGGACTTCAACTCCCACAATTCCTAACAGCTTAGCGGCTGTTGGGAATTGTGGGAGTTGAAGTCCAAAGCACCTGGATGGCCAAAGTTTGCCCATGCCTGGGTTAATCCCTATCTGTAAAACAGCATTTTGGATAGCTCCAAGCCATCTATAACTTTGAGTAAATTAACTATCCCAGTGAAGTGGAAACCACCAATTGCCGCTAGTATCAATATGTCTGCATATTTCCAGTATATTGAAACTCAGTTCTAAGGCAATTGCCACGAATTCACCTAGAGTGCTGTAGAATCAGTGCAGTTTGACGTCACTTTAACTGCCCTGAATCATGGGTTGTTGTTGTTTATTCCTTCAATCGCTTCTGACTCTTTGTGGCCTCATGGACCACCCCATGCCAGAGCTCCCTGTCGGCTGTCACCACCCCCAGCTCTTCAAGGTCAAGCCATCTTGCCCTTGCTTGGCCCCTCTTCCTTTTTCCTTCCATTTTCCCAAGTGTCATTGTCTTCTCTAAGCTCATGGGAATCATGGGAGCTGAACTTTAACTAGGCTTTTAGCCCTCTATGCTAAGGAGTGCTGATGCCTCACCAAACTTCAGATCCCAGAATTCCATAGCATTCGACCAGGGTATTTAAAGTGGTGTCAAACTGCATTCGTTCTATCTCTGGCTTGACTGCTAAAAAGTATGATACTATGAATGTTCCATTCAGTTGGGCTCACAATGCTGCAAAGTTATTTTTAGTGGAAATTTTGCTTGCTCTGTCATCTTTTACTGTTGTTTTCTGACTTCCTCTGCTCGTTTTCTGGTTCCTTTGATACCTCTTTTCTTCCTTGGGCAGGTTGGCATCAATTACCAGCCTCCCACCACGGTCCCTGGGGGTGACCTTGCCCAAGTCCAGCGTGCCGTCTGCATGCTTAGCAACACCACTGCCATCGCCGAGGCCTGGGCAAGGCTGGACCACAAGTTTGACCTGATGTACGCCAAACGCGCCTTCGTCCATTGGTATGTGGGCGAAGGCATGGAGGAAGGAGAGTTTTCTGAGGCCCGAGAAGACCTGGCTGCCTTGGAGAAAGACTACGAGGAAGTTGGGACCGACTCCTTTGAAGAGGAAAATGAAGGGGAAGAATTTTAAAAAGGCAGTTTGCCCCTGACTGTACACGACGACATTTTAAACATCTCTTCATTGTCCTGGGGGACACTTTGCTGCACAGCTTCTGCTTGCTTGAGAGGAAATTGAAGAAGAAAGAATAAAAGGGGCACAGCAGAACTGTCTGGTGGATTGCACCTTAGTGTTTATGTTAGTGTTGGATGGATGGGAGACTGCCAAAGAGAGGTTGTAGGAAAGAAATGGCAAGACTATCCCTTATCCAAGAAACCCTATGAAATTCATGAGGCTGCCACAAGTCAAAAGGCGACTTGAAGATACATACAGATAAAGACACATATGAGTAAGTTAGAACGATCCCTCTTAGAGTTTTCAAAGGCTTGTTTCCTTATATTGCCTATTACACAAACATTCATTCTATTCCTTCCCTAAACTCATGAAAGAAAAGGGTCTCAGTGCTAGTATCTTTTAGGAAAGAAACATGAAAATTGACTTATTTATTTATGTATTTACTATATTTATACCCTGCCCTTTCTCACTCCAAAGGGGACTCAGAGCGACTTACAAATTGGCAACAATTCTATGCCATATAAACAAACATATAAAAACAATGAATATATACAAAGAGTGGGTTAACAAAGAGTGGGCCTCTTATTTAGATGTTTAGAAGGAAAGTGCACCCTGCGCAGTTCTGGTACAACAAATTAGACCCTGGGTTGAAAATGCTTTAGTATTACACACAGTGGCATTTGCTATACAGGTACTTTGCATATTATTCCAGTTAGAAATATAATTTGAAGTAGTTTCTCTGTGTAGGTAACACAGGGCATCTTTCTCATAATCAACAGTCCAAAGTCCAAACCATCTCTCTGTTCTGGAAGTCTAATAGAGTCTCTGTTTCTAGTCTGAAAGTCCAATGGAGTCTCTAAGTGTACAGTTCCTACTGAAGTCTCTAAGCATACCTGTTCCTACTGTCTTCTTAAACGCCTACTTTTCTATTGATGTCTAAACCGAACTGTGCTAAAATGGAGTCTGAGTCCTGAACAAGCCCAGATCTGATCACATGGTCTGCAGCCCCTCCCACAACAAAAGAATTAAGGAAAACTGCAAACCAATACACACATGTATAATACAGTAAGCAATTAAATTATAACAAACTACTTGTGGAGGCTTGAGAAGGTTGCTATTTCCAACAATACAGGATCTATGTATATGGAGGGCGTACTACACTTTTCTTTTGCACCAGGTACCATTTGATAGAACAGGCACGGGCAAACTTGGGCCCTCCAGGTGTTTTGGACTTCAACTCCCATAATTCCTAACAGCCTATTGGCTGTTAGGAATGGTGGGAATTGAAGTCCAAAACACCTGGAGGGCCCAAGTTTGCCCGTGCCTGTAATAGATGCTTCTAGGAGAAACATTTGAACCACAAGGCTCAGTTTTAGTGGATTTTGAGGGCACAGTAAGGTTGGTTCATAGTCAGAAATGGCAAGCTAACAGGACTGATTGCTGAAAATAAACAGAGGGAGCCTTAATGTGCCTTAAAACTATTTTGACGGTTTTACATCAAGGAGAAGAGATGCCTACTGTAGTGGCAACCACATATTAGTGGTTGGTGTCAATAAGGCACTGAATCTGCATTGACCTTCAAGTCCAAACTTTAAAGGAGATACTCAGGGTGCTGAATACTATCCTTAAATAACACTATATAACAAAATTTAAAAACAAACTTTTCCTGGTTTTAAGGGTTATTCCCATTTAATTGTGTGGTAGATACTTTGAAAGTAGTTATACTCCAGAAACTTCATTTTTGTGGCTGCCAAACTATGTTGCATTGCTTGAGACATGGATATTCATTGAAAAACGCTAGCAAAAAGTGCTGCAGGAAAAGTTTAGTAAACTTTTTCCATGCTTTCAGGATAGAAACAATTAGAAAATGACATTTATAACCTAGGAGCAAAAAAAGTGTTATATAGTGTAAATTAAATGTCTTAGGTTGCATCTACACTGTAGAATTAATTCTACTTGAACTGCCAATTAATTTGATTCTACTTGAACTGCCATGCCTCTATGGAATCCTATGAAATCATGGAAGTTGTAGTTTTGCAAGGTCTGGTGCTTCACCAAAACACAAATCCCAGGATTCCAGAGCTTTTAGCTTGGCAGTTAAAGTGGTGCTGAACTGCATTAATTCTACAGTGTGGATGCATCCCAGTTCACAGTAAACATGTTTACCTTATCCAACTGTCATCTGGCCCTGACACACGTGAAGGATGACCTTCTTCTGGTTTTCCATGGTGAGAGCCTTCAGCAATCTAGGGTTGGGGCATGAGAAAAGCACACATTTCCTTCTCTTAAGTTTCATTTCTTGGCTGTGACACATCAGGAAAGAAGGGGAGACGTAAACCTAAGCCAAAAGGATGTACGTGCGGAGGGAGGTGAAATCTAATGCACATAGCGAAGGGAATTTCATATGTGAGGCTCCACAGATGTGGCAAAATTGCAGGAATAGGGTTTTGGAGAAACAAAAAATGCAGCAGGGAGAACTATATGCTGCCTTTATAAATCTTAGTGAGACATTTGATACTGTAAATAGAGAGACGTTATGGAGGAAATTAACTGATATCAATATGGAACCCAGACTGCTGGCACTGATCAAAGCACTTTACATAAACACTTGAAAGTGTGACTTGGGATGAAAGGAGCCATGACAAATAGTGTAGAACAGTGTTTCTCAACGGGGGGTTTGTGGGAAGGTGTCAGAGGGGTCATCCAAGACCATCAGAAAACACAGGATTTTCTGTTGGTCATGGGGGTTCTGTGTGGGAAGTTTGGCCCAACTCTATCGTTTGTGGGGCACAGAATGCTCTGAGTTGTAGTTGGTGAACTACAACTCCCAAACCCAAGGTCAATGCCCACCAAACCCTTCCAGTATTTTCTGTTGGCCATGGGAGTTCTGTGTGCCAAGTTTGGTTCAATTCCATCATTGGTGGAGTTCAGAATGCTCTTTGATTGTAGGTGAACTATAAATCCCAGCAACTACAACTCCAAATGTCAAGGTCTCTTTTCCCCAAACTCCACCAGTGTTCACATTTGGGCATATTGAGTATTTGTGCCAAGTTGGGTCCAGATCCATCATTGTTTGAGTCCACAGTGCTCTCTGGATGTAGTGAACTACAACTCCCAAACTCCAGGTCAATGCCCACCAAACCCTTCCAGTATTTTCTGTTGGTCATGGGAGTTCTGTGTGACAAGTCTGGTTCAATTCCATTGTTGGTGGGGTTCAGAATGCTCTTTGATTGTAGGTGAACTATAAATCCCAGCAACTACAACTCCCAAATGACAAAATCCCCCTGTTTAAAAAGTTTGAGGACCCCTGCCTTACAGTATTTTTTGTTAGTCATGGAAGTTCTGTGTGCCAAGTTTGGTTCAATTTCATCATTGTTGGAGTTCAGAATGCTGTTTGATTGTAGGTCAACTATAAATCCCGGCACCTACAACTCCCAAATGACAAACTCAATCCTCCCTTCTGTTCACATTTGGGCATATTGAGTATTCATGCCATAGGAGTTCTGTGTGTCAAGTTTGGTTCAATTCCATGGTTGGTGGAGTTCAGAATGCTCTTTGATTGTAGGTGAACTATAAATCCCAGCAACTACAACTCCCAAATGTCAAACTCCATCAGTGTTCACATTTGGGCATATTGAGTATTCATGCCATAGGAGTTCTGTGTGCCAAGTTTGGTTCAATTCCATGGTTGGTGGAGTTCAGAATGCTCTTTGATTGTAGGTGAACTATAAATCTCAGCAACTACAACTCCCAAATGACAAAATCAACCCCACCAGTATTTAGATATGGGGGTATTGGGTATTCGTGCCAAATTTGGTCCAGTGAATGAAAATACATCCTGCATATCAGGCATTTACATGACGATTCATAACAATAGTAACATTACAGTTCTGAAGTAGCAACAAAAATAATGTTCTGGTTGGGGGTCACCACAACATGAGGAACTGTACTAAGGGGTGGCAGCATTAGGAAGACTGAGAAACACTGCTGTAGATGCATGCAAGAGAGCAGAGTCCTTGGGCTGCACAGGTAGGAAAGGAAGGCGGAGGAGAACGAGGAGGAGGAGGAGGAGGAGGAGGCGGCGCATTGGAAACGAAGCTGGTTAAGTTTCACTTTCTAAAGCGAGCTGGCCTTCAGCGGGAAATCAAAACTCATGGCGGTCTGCTCGGTGCTGCCCTCTAGAAGTGACGCACAGCTGTCAAAAAGGGAGACGACCGCGCCGGGATCAGAAGTTTCCCTGTCGCTAGTGTGGACGCACAGTCGAGCGGAGTGGAGACCAAGCAGGCGGGAAAGGTTGAGCCCTTCTCCTCCTCCTCCATCACCGTAAGTTACCTTCCAACCCATCCTCCTCCAACCTGGCCTTTTCGGGTTGATCTACACTGCAGAATTATTGCACTTTTGGGTTGATCTACAGTACTGTAGAGTTATTGCACTCTGGCAAGACTTAGTTCCATGCTCTGGGATCCTCGGAATTGAAGTTTGGTGGGGCACCAGGACTCTTTAATTGTAGGTGAACTATAAATCCCAGCAATTACAACTCCCAAATGTCAAAGTCTATTTCCCCCAAACTCCATCAGCAGGGAAGGCTAAAGACCAGGTAAGACTACAACTCCCAGGATTCCATAACATTGAGCCATGGACCTCACAACCTCTGAGGATGCCTGCCATAGATGCAGATGAAACATCAGGAGAGAATGCTTCTGGAACATGGCCATACAGCCCAGACTTATTTACACATTTATTTACTTATTTAGGTGAGTCCTCATAGCCCGAGGATGATGGTCCTCCAAGTCGGTGGGTCTGTAGGTGGCTGTGGAGCCTTATTCTTGACCCACATGTTCTCCAACAGTGAGAACATTGGTTTCCAGGTGGAAAGTGGTCCCAGTTAAGGTTGGCTTGACGCACCTTCCTCTTGGCACGTTTCTCCCTTTTGCCCTCCATTTGTGCCTCTTTGAATTCTGCAGCACTGCTGGTCACAGCTGACCTCCAGTTAGAGTACTCAAGGGCCAGGGCTTCCCAGTTCTCAGTGTCTATGCCAGAATTGATTAGGGTTGGCTTGACATGCCTTCCTCTTGGCACGTTTCTCCCTTTTGCCCTCCATTTGTGCCTCTTCGAATTCTGCAGCACTGCTGGTCACAGCTGACCTCCAGTTAGAGCACTCAAGGGCCAGGGCTTCCCAGTTCTTGCTGTCTGTGCCACAGTTTTTAAGGCTGGCTTTCAGCCCATCTTTAAATTCCTGTCCACCAACTTTACATTTTCCGTTCTTGAGTTGGGAGTATAGTAACTGCTTTGGGAGATGGTGATCGGGCATTTGGACAACATGGCCACTCCAGCAGAGTTGATGGTGTAGGAGCATCTCTTCAATGCTGGTGGTCTTTGCGTCTTCCAGCACGCTGACACTTGTCCTTCTGTCTTCCCAAGAGATTTTCAGGGTTTTTTGGAAGCAGTGTTGATAGAATCGTTCTAGGAGTTGAGTGTGACGTCTGTAGACAGTTCCACGTCTCGCAGGCGTATAGTAGGGTTGGGAGGACAATAGCTTTATAAACAAGCACCTTGGTCTCCTTACAGATGTCCCAGTCCTCAAACACTCTGTGTTTCATTCGGAAAAATGCTGCACTCACAGAGCTCAGGAGGTGTTGTATTTCGGTGTCAATATTGACTTTTGTGGAGAGGTGGCAGCCAAGGACCTCACAACCTCTGAGGATGCCTGCCATAGATGCAGGCAAAACGTCAGGAGAGAATGCTTCTGGAACATGGTCATACAGCCCGGAAAACTCACAACAACCCAGTGATTCCGGCTGTGAAAGCCTTCGACAACATGTCATTTTACTCTCGGGAGCCCTGAGATCTTTTGTTTAATGGTTTTCTTTCCATTGCTTCAAATGTAATTTATCCGAGCACTTTATGTACAGTTTAAATGTCTATTTTCCAGGTAACTATATATGTTATATTTTGGCAAAATCTCAAATGCTTTCCTGGTACTTTGCAATTACTAAATGAATCCATAAAGTAATAGCCCAAACAAGCAAGTCAGCTGACAAGTGTAAACAAGGAAGAAAACATTGCAATGTAAGCAAAGCAAGATGTGAAAAATAAACATTGCAAATAAAGGGAAACAATATAATAACAAACATTGCAATAAAACATTGCGATGTTGAAATTTGCTTGGTATATTGACCAGGAAATCTTCTTTGTATCTATGCCAATTGATCTAGAAGATAATCAGTTATATAGTCTAGGACAGGCATGGGCAAACTTTCTAACTTGGGGACCACATGGTAGGCCACGGTGGGGTGGGTGGGTTGTGAGGGAGGGGGCTCTCCCCAAGCCCCCTCCCTGCCCTTTCCTCCCCTTCCTCTTCTCTTTTGGAAGCAGAAAGTGAAGGAAAGACAGGAAACATTTGGATCCCAAAAGGGTTGGCCTTGATCAGGATGAGATGGTGGATGAGAGAGACAAAGTGTATCTATTAGAGACTCTATATTGCCTACTCCTGCTATAGAATCCTAAAATCCTAGAATTGGAAGACCTCCAAGGGCCATCCAGTCCAGCCCTCTGCCATGCAAGAAGGCACAATCAAAGCACTCCCAGTAGACAGCCTCTGTGGAAAAGCCTCCAGAGAAGGAGATGCCACCACACTCTGAGGCAGCCTATTCCACTCTCCAGGAAGGTCGTCCTAATTTTTTCAGTCGAATCTCTTTCCCTGCCATTTGAAACCATTGCTCTTTGTGCCCTGGTCTCTAGAGCAGCAGAAAGTCAGTCCCCCCCCCCCCCCCTTAATGGGACACCCCTTTAAAATTTTGAAACATGGTTCTCATGTGCCCTCTCGACCCAGCGATTCTCCCAGCTAATCATCTTTCTGGAGGAAAAGGGGAAGGAAAAAGAGAAGGAAGGGAAGAAGAGAAGGATGAAAGGAAGGAAGGGTGAAGGGAAAGGGAGGGAGAAAGAGAAGGAAAGGGAAGAAGGGAGGGAGGAATGAAGGAATGAAGGAAGGAAGGAAGGAAGGAAGAAGGAGAAAAAGGATATATACGGCGTAGGGAGGACGGGAAGACTGACGAATTGAATGGTAAATTGATGTAAGTAGTCATAGGAGTAACGACGGTTAGAAGGGAGTAAAGAAGCCGGAAGGAAAGCCAAAGGAGGGAATGAAGGCGCAGTTTTCAGCGTTCTTCCAGATTGGTTTTACTCGGTAGATTACGTTCATTCCCGTGTCCTCCATCAAGCATCGAAGAACAGGCTGATTTCGCCTTTCATCTTCCCTGGTCATTCCTGCTTTCTTTCCCCTGCTGCCTCTCTTACTCCCTTCTTTCCCTCCTTCCTTCGCTCCTCTTCCTTCCTTCCCTTTTCTTCTTTCATTCTCTCCTTCCTTCTTCTCTTCCTCTTTCCTTCCTTCCTTCTGTGAAGAAAGACATAAATAAAAGTTAGGATGTACAGCAAAGCACCTCAGGGACGGTCTGATGGACGGTATCAATATTCCTTTTCCTGCCCGTACCTCCTGTCAGCAGCGGCTCTCGGTTTGGTGTTTGGCAGTAAATCTCCTCGTTTGTATTCGCTTGTTAGGAATGGTGGGGATTGGAGTCTAAAACACCTGGAGTTCCCAAGTTTGCCCATGCTTGCATCAACTCAAGTGGTGCATATATTTGTTTGCACTGCAAGTTTACTCCTTTCTACGGGTAAAGAGGTGAAAGGACTTTTTCATGCAATTTGCTTTATCCAGTTTGGGTGGGATCAGTGGGTTGCAGTGGGTGAAGAGAAGGGTGTGGACTGAAGTGGAATCAAAGAAAAGTGTTTGGTTATAAATATGATATTTACCATCTCGGACATGTTCCCATCAAGTATGCAAATGCAGAGCTCAATGCTATGCATTCCTCCTTAAGAATAAGTCCCAGTGCAAATGCTTTCCAACATGCAAAGCAGAGCTCTGTGTTATAGGTCGGTTGTTAACCCTGCTCTGCCTGCTTTAAATAGCAAAATAAAAAAAATAAATATTTTTTTTAAAAAAAAAACCCAATTTCCCGTAAGAGAAACGAATCTAACACTGTTTGTTTACCAACCCAAGAGATTTGCTACTCTGGCAGCTGTGTTTCAGGTTTTAGAAATGGCTTAGATAGGTTGCTGTGAATTTTCTGTCCTGTATGTCCATTTCCAGAAGCATTCTCTTCACCCACGTCTATGGCAGCCACCTTCAGAGGTTGTGAGGTCTATTGGAAACTAGGCAAGTGGGGTTTATATATCTGCAGAATGTCCAGGGTGGGAGAAAGAACTCTTGTCTGTTTGAGGCAAATGTGAATGTTGCAATAGGCCACCTTCATAAGCATTTAATGTCCTTGCAGCTTCAAAGCCTGGCTGGTTGCTGCCTGGGGGTCCTTTGTTGGGAGGTGTTAGCTGGTCTGGATTGATTCTTGTTTGGAATTACCCTGTTTTTTTTTTAGTGTTGCTCTTTATTTACTGTCCTGATTTTAGAGTTTTTAAAAAAATGACTTGTAGTTTTTTGAGTCCTGTCTGGTTTGTCCCATGGAGCCAAGAACTAACCAGGCAGGGAAGGAAGCAGAAAGAGGGACGATTCCTGCAATGCAGTTCTGGATGAGATGGTGCAGAACCAGAATTGGGTGATGACTTTTTCTTCACTTCAGGAGGGATACTATAGCAGGCGATCTCCCATATTGGGATGGACTAGATTGCCTTTGAGGTGACCTTCTTTTCTCTTTCCCAAAAAGTCTAGCTATGCAGAGAAATTTCAGTAGCATAGAAAAGGCTCTTGGTTGCTGTTTCATCTGACAAAGCTAAATCTCTTAAGCAGGATAGACATATATTTAAGCTATCCTTCTATTGTGCAAATTCCTATTTACCCCAACTTTTGGTGACACTTATTTGGCTTATGGAAAGAGATCTTATAAGTAATTTCTGTGTGTGTGTGTCTTCTTGCCTCATTACATGCTTGCTTGAGTAGATTTTTGAAATACAACTAAGGTCCAGTTTCATCCTAAAACTTACCTCCTGCATACCTCTTAGTTTATTGTTATTTGTCTTCTAGTTATTTCTGATTTATGGTGACCCTAAAGCAAACTTATCACGTGGTTTCTTGGCAAAATTTGTTCAGATCAGGTTTTCCTTTGCCCTCCTCTGTGGCTGAGATAATGTGACTTTCCTCACGTTTTATTTATTTATTTGGTGTCAAAAGCATTGTATAAATAAGTATAAAACCGATAAAAATAGAAGGAGCACAAGCGGCTAAATATCTTTTGACCAAAAACGGGCAACAGCAACCACTTTGTCTGTAGCCTCAAACAATTCTTCCTCTGTACATGAGGCAGGGCATTGCAGGCAAGCATACAGATGCGGAGTTGTTTGTTCTGCTCCACAGTCACACATGGTGAAGGATTCTTCTAGGTAGTGCCATTTTGCCAGGTTGTCTTTTGATCTGCCAACTCCACTTCTGATTCTGTTCAGGGACTTGCCCATTTTTGGTTTGCCTCTGGAGGAAGACCCTCATGGGGGGCCTTCCAGTTGGGATTTCCTAGTTTAGCGGCCCAGAGTTTTTCATTGATTTGAATCTGCGTGGAGGAGGCTGATAGCCATGAAGTGGACTGCTTTTGCAGTATTCAAGCTTATTTATCTCATAGTTAGCAGCAACTTCCCATTGTATGTACATCGAGGGGAGGGGACAATGCCAGCTAGCTTAAATTTGAGACATCCTGTGATTATTATGCATGTTTCATTTAGTGCTATGCTCATCTACTTTGCATGGGCAGACTTGTGCTAAACAGCGCAGTCATATTCAGCAGCCAGGGCTGATGTTCTTATTAATTTTGAGTATGCACTCCATGCACTGCGAGTAAGTTTCCACGGGATGTTATTACATGCAGCTACTTTGTGCTTGGTGTTAATACAGTGTTTCCTAAATTTTAGTGTTCGATCTAAGGTGACACCGAGATATTTAAGTTGAGAATGGTATTCAAGCTCTTGGCCTTCCCATATAACTTTAAAGGCTGGGGCTGTAGCACAGCTGGTAAATCACCAGCACTGATTAAATCTACCTACTAAAAGGTTGCCAGTTTGAAGCCCTGAGTCGGCATGAGCTGCCAACTATTGGCTCAGCTTGCTGTTGACCTAAGCAGTTTGAAAACAGCTTGAGCTGTAATTAGAGAAATTAGGTACTGCTAAAACAAGTGGGGGAGATATTTTATGACACCATAAAAAAAAAGTTCAGAAAATGCCCTGTGACCAAAAGGAAGGAGGAAGTCCTGATGGCTCTTCATCATGGAAGATGAAGCGACAGCACCCCCCTGTGGCTGGCTTTGAGCAAAACCTTCCAAGGCTCCAAAAAGCTGGAGTTCAACACAAGATACTTCTTTTCTGTCCTGTGTGTCTCTGTACTGTCTATCCAAAACAGCATTGAATGTTTGCCATGTATGTGTAATTAATTCATCTATTCCCCATTTCTTCCCCGATATTTATTTATTTTTATTTATTTACAGTTCTTATATTCCGCCCTTCTCACCCCGCAGGGGACTCAGGGCGGATTACAGTAAACACATATATGGCAAACATTCAATGCCAGTTTGACAAACAACATTTAACAGACAAATACACCAAGGCTATTTAACTTTTTTCTGGCCGCCAAGGGAGCTGCTGCTTTTCATCGTCCATCAACGACACCGATGAAGTTCTTCCGCATTCCACATTCCCCGGAGTCTTTTTCTTTATGGCCTCATAAATTAGTTAAATTTAGCCTCCCACACAAGGTGGTCCCTTATTTTCCTACTTGACAGATGCAACTGTCTTTCGGGTTGCAAAGGTCGACAACGGGCTACACAATGGCTGGACACCCACTCCAGCCCAGGCTGGCTTCGAACTCATGACCTTTTGGTCAGAGTGATCTTAATGCAGCTGACACTCAGCCAGCTGCGCCACAATCCCGGTATCTCCACCTATCTCACAGTTAGCAGCAAATAATAATAACACATTGTGATAATGCAGCTGACACTCAGCCAGCTGCGCCACAATCCCGGTATCTCCACCTATCTCACAGTTAGCAGCAAATAATAATAACACATTGTGATCTGCCCTGAGTCCCCTTTGGGGTGAGAAGGGCAGAATATAAATACTGTAAATAAATAAATAAATAATATAATATAATAACTGGAAAAGATGACATGATATGAGGATTTAAAGATCAAACTGCAAAGATTCTGGCACAAACCAATAAAGGTGGTCCCAGTGGTGATTGGCACACTGGGTGCAGTGCCTAAAGACCTTGGCATGCACTTAAACACAATCGGCACTGACAAGATTACCAAGCCCTATGAGGAGCAGCTTAAGAAGCTGGGCATGTTTAGCCTGAAGAAGAGAAGGCTGAGAGGAGATATGATAGCCATGTATAAATATGTGAGAGGAAGCCACAGGGAGGAGGGAGCAAGCTTGTTTTCTGCTTCCTTGGAGACTAGGACGCGGAACAATGGCTTCAAACTACAAGAGAGGAGATTCCATCTGAACATGAGGAAGAACTTCCTGACTGTGAGAGCCTTTCAGCAGTGGAACTCTCTGCCCCGGAGTGTGGTGGAGGCTCCTTCTTTGGAAGCTTTTAAACAAGGGCTGGATGGCCATCTGTCGGGGTGATTTGAATGCAACATTCCTGCTTCTTGGCAGGGGGTTGGACTGGATGGCCCATGAGGTCTCTTCCAACTCTTTGATTTTATGATTCTATCTGCCAGCTGCAGAAGGCCACCCTACTGGGATCTGCACACATTATTCACTGATACATCACACAGTCCTAGACACTTTGGAAGTGTCCGACGTGTGATCCAATACAACAGCTAGCAGAGTGTCTGCTGTAGACTCATCTTGTTGTGTTTCAAATAATAATAATAATAATAATAATAATAATAATAATAATAATATTCAATTTCCTGTTGTCTTCACAGTTATGTATGTGGAAAGCACACATTTGTGTCTTGGCAAGGTTAGGCTTCAGGTGATTATCTTTGGAGTAGCTGGAGAGATCTTTCAGGGCATTTGTAAGTTGGCTTTCGACTGTTTCAACGTCTCAAATCACACAATGGTTTCCATGGCTATATGGAGATTTGCAACTTGGTTTGGAGTCATAGTTTATCATTCAGACCACAATATTCATTGCTCTCTTTTTGTATCCATTAATACTATTTGCAAAAGTGTCAGTTTCAATCCGAAACCATTTCAGAATGTTTGTCAGCCTTTCCCTCTTTCAAGGCCTTGGAGCAGAAATGACATCATTGTTCTTTGATGCTTAGCAGCCTATTTTTATGCAGGAAATTGAAAGTTACTGGTATATACAGAAGAACAATGGTTAATCTAATAAGAGAAACTTTATTCCAAAGTATTTCCCCTGTTCCCAAAGAATGGGATTAACATCGAGTTCTTGGCTGGAAATAAAGCCACTGATTTCTTGTCCACTTGTTCTGAGCAGCACCCTTGATGGGACAAAACTTTGCAAGGCGAAAAAGAAATAAAACACTCAAGCTGGACGAATATCAGACTGTTTCAGCCGAGGATGAGGAGGCGGAGGAAGAAAAAGAAGAACGTAAAGAGGATATTGTGGAGAAGTACAACAAGAAACTCAAAGCTATTTGCGGACTGGCTGACTTAAGAAATGGTACTGCTTTTGCTTTTTGTTCCCTTTGCTGGTTGCCCGGGGTGTGGTTATGTTGCAGCATCCCTGTCTTCCATTTATCTGCTGGTGTTTTCTCCTGTTAAGAAGAAAAACAAGCTGCATTATAAGATTGTAAATTGTCTTTATTTCCTATTTTTTCCATTGAATCAGGTTGAAGTAGGCAGTCCACAATCCACATATGGCCCATTGAAGTATTTTGCGTAGCCCTAGCACTTTGGGGAAAAATGCACCCCAAATGTGCAATAACAGTACCCCTGATTCTGACCTTTAATGCTATTTTCTGCTTCCAGAAGTGCTAAAGCAGGGAAGCCTTTGCAGGGAAGCTATGTTTGGGAGTACAGCCGACATTAACCCTGGTGTCGCAGTGGGTTAAACCGCTGAGCTGCTGAACTTACTGATTAAAAGATCACAGGTTCGAATCCACAGATTGGGGTGAGCTCCTGCTGTTAGCCCCAGCTCCTGCCAACCTAGCAGTTTGAAAACATGCAACTGTGAGTCGATGAATAGGTATCACTTATGCAGGAAGGTAACGGCGCTTTGTGAAGTCATGCCAGCCACATGGCCTTGGAGGTGTCTATGGACAAGGACTGGACTTAATATCAGGGGAAAACCTTTACCTTGACCTTTTACAGCTGACATAATCACTTACTATTGGGCATGCTGGATATGGAAGCACTTGGGAATTCAACTCCCCAACATTCAGAAGGCTCATGTTCTTCATCCCTGTTCTAAATTATGCCAGAATTTAAGAAAAGTTGTGTGTTCAAACCCTCTCTTGGGGTTTTGTATCTTTGTCAGTAGACACATATCTGCAGAAATGAAAACTTGGTAGTTCTATAGTGATAGATGTACAGTTGGAGTGATGCACAACAATGGAAATGATGCCCATTGGTCACATTGAGCATTGGGACATCAACTAGGGAGTGCAGATACGTTTTGGGACAGCCATGCTGTTGTCCAGTGACTCATCTTCTCAGTTCACTAAAAGAGCTTCTTAGCACTTCTGCCATGGATTTAGTATAAGTAAAATTACAACAATGTAGACGGCAATATATGATTCCAGACATTGTTTTTATACTTTTCCCTCTGTGCAATTATTCATTTTAGTTAGATGTTTACTTCACATTTGTGAACTTAGACATAATGATAATATTTAATTATTTGTGCATTTATCATAATCCTATTTAGGTAAAGGTTTTAATGTATAAGGTAAAGGTAAAAGTAAAGATTTTCCCCTGACATTAAGTCCAGTCGTGTCCGACTCTGGGGGTTGATGCTCATTTCCATTTATAAGCCAAAGAGCTGGCATTGTCCGTAGACACCTCCAAGGTCATGTGGCCAACATGACTGCATGGAGCACGATTACCTTCCCGCCAAGTGGTACCTATTGATCTACTCACATTTGCATGTTTCTAACTGCTAGGTTGGCAGAAGCTGGGCCTAACAGTGGGAGCTCATCCTGCTCTCCGGATTAGAACTGGCAACCTTTCATTGAGGAAGTTCAGCAGCTCAGTGGTTTAACCTGCTGAACCACCAGGGGGCAAATCTATTTACATGGGCATAATTCCAGCTTTTCTTTCACAATGGATTTAATTCTATTTCAGGGCTTTTAGGATTGCAACCTCACGTCTGTATATTTCTCTTTGCCTTTCACCACCCACGTTACACAGTCCACATTTTCCCTGTTGTTTTCAGGAGCTGTTGGCTTGTACAATATTGGATTAAACTGCTGCCTCAATTCCTTGCTGCAAGTTTTCTTCATGAACAGATACTTCACTATGATCCTTCGGAGGTGAGGGAAAATCAGGAAGTCCGCTTTTCACCTCTCACTCAAAAATTAGGAGTTGAAAGTGATCTGGTATAGTGGCTAATGTGCTTAATTTAGAACTGGGAAGTGCTAATTCAAATATGGCCTTTCTGCTATTTGGTGGCCTGAGACAAATTACTATTTTCCAGCCTTACTTTTTCCATCTGCTGTAAAGAACAATCTCAAAACCACAACAGTTTTGTGAGCCTATAGTACTATCAAATAGGTGGGATGCCACCTATTTGTGAGCTGCCAATTCGTATCTCCTCTTCCTCCTTTCCACGCTAAAATCCACTCCTGTTTATTCTGCAAATTATAAATTCAATACCAGCAGTATAATTTGGAGTGAGAACAGGGTTCTTTTGTTGCTCGTGTTGTTAGGGAATTTCCGTAGGTGTAGCTGTGTTAATCCATTGCGTCAAAATCAAGAAAGAATTCTGCAGCGTTCTTTAGGAGAAGCAAATGTATTACAGCAGAAATGTTCATGAAGTAAATCATCCATCTACCTGAGATCTTCTAGGGATCTACCAAGAGATCCAGATCTATGTTTTCCTTACCTCGCTGTATAATGTAGCCAAATAATATGATGCAGGTTGAGGATCCTTATCTGAAATTCCAAAACCCAAAATATTCCAATATCCACAATTATCCACATGGAATAGTGACAACTTTATTTTCTGATACACAAACTTCATCACTTCACAAATGAATTTAAAGTATTGTGTATAAAATTATCTTCAGGTTCTGTGTAGAACAGTGGTTCCCAACCCGTGGTCCGTGTACCATCAGTAGCCTGAAAGAATTAAAATATGGTCCATGGCCTCACCGTTACTACACTGTTGCAACGAGAGTGACCGGCCATACGAAACAGTTTTATTGTGCTGGTAAAGCTGTACCAGAAGCCTAAATTTTCTTTCTATGCATGTGTTTGTCTTGGCCATGCATTTTGCAGTTGGGTGGTTCCTTCCAGGCTGCAGCCATAGGGCCAGCCACCTGCCTATCATTTAGTTTCGCCCCTTTTCCCAGGGTTCTGGGAGGGAAAAGAAAGTTTTTAGTTCAGTCTTACAGTTTAGAAGCTCAGTTACAGGATGTGAGAGCTTTTCCCACCTGTAGAGAAGCTCCGTTTCTTACAAAGCTCCGGGGGAAAATAGTCCCAAAGCTTCTGAGGAAGACAGTTCTCAAAGCTCTGGCTGGGGAACTTACAGCCTCACAGCTCTACAAGCCTCTGGAGAAGATAGCCCTAAAGCTTCTGAAGAAAACAGTTTTACAGATCCAAAGGTCTCCAGCTGGAAAATCTCTAAAGTTTTGGCCTGTAAGGTTTACTCGGGTACCCAAAAAGCAAATTGGAACGGGGAGTAAGGCCCCAAGGCAGCCAGCCTAAAGACAGATTGCCCAGGGAGGGGTCGGAGGGTTTTCCTTGTAAAAGAAAGAAATAGTTCACGAAGCAAGCTGCCTGTCCTTTGTGGGCAAGTTAAGAAGAATTTGTGTGTTTTGTTGAAGATCTAAGCAATAATAAAGAACTTTGTTAAACTTTCCAAGTTTCTAAAGACTTTGTTTAGGAAAATCCATAGGGCCTCTCAACCAAGGCACCCCGGCGTCCTGCTGGGCACAAAGAGCACGTCCTGTTTTAAAAGACAATTGCTATAGGCCCAGCGCGTGTCAACACACTTATAGTGCCAAGACTTATTAAATACGGTTTTCTGTGGGCAAGCAGATGTGATTACTAGATGGCACATGTTCTGTAACAGAAACTAGAGCTCATGTGGTCTATCCAATACAGTTTTCTGAATCAGCACCCCAAATAACCAAACCGAATCTAAAGTTGACCAAAAACTAATTCGTAATCCTTTTGATACTAATGTTGGAGAGTGGTCCCTGGTCAAATAAAGGTTGGGAACCACTGGTGTAGAAGGTGTAGATGAAACATGACTGAATTTCATGTTAGCCTTGTGTCCCATCTCCAAAATATCTTATTATGTATCTGCAAGTAATCCAAAATATGAAAGAAAGATGTCTGAAATGTGGAACACTTCTGGTCCCAAACATTTCAAATAAAGGAAATTCCATCTGTCCATATATTGTGTGATGGCATTGAGGCTTTCGATTTCTGTTAGGGCTCATCTCCAAATGAGTGTGGACAGGCCTGCAGCCTTAAAGTTTTTTCCCCTGAGTCTAAGATAATATTATAATTATAGTTTCTTTTCTATTGCAGGATTAAAGTGCCTTTTGATGTTGATGAACAGAAGGCAAGTGTCCCTTACCAGATGCTTCTGCTGTTGGAAGAGATGCAGCAAAGCAAGCAGAAGTCTGTACATCCCATGAATCTTGCCCAGTGCCTCTCGAGACACAATGTGAAATGTAAGCAGCAACTGGAAATAGTTTGTCCTTGCTGGGAGATTTAGGATTGGTGTCAAAACATTGCAGTCTAGTAGGGAATCTGAAACTGGAGGGAGAACAAGAATGAAAGTGGGTGAGAATGCCAGCATTGGGAAGAGCACGAAAGAGCCATACAGATAATATGTTGTGCTAAATCCTGGTTGTCATGTTGTCTCCTTCGCCAGTGTTTGTTCTTTATGATGCTGCTGAACTTTTCCTGATCCTATGGAATCTAATTAAGGACCAAATCACAAGCCCAGATTTGGTAAGTGTTCCTTTTTCACCCCAAATAAACATAGATTCTTGCTGTATTGTACCAAGTAAGCATGCTCCCTCAAAGCAAGGCCAGCTAAAGCTGGTTGGGATGTGTCCAACATATTTTATTTATTTATTTAGACCATTTCTACCCCGCCCTTCTCACCCCCGAGGGGGGACTCAGGGCGGCTAACACAGGCAACTATTCAATGCCAACAGTATCAAAACAACAATATAAAARAGCAATATAAAATCCATTACATAACAARTAAGCAGTGATATTAATTAAAATTACATAACCACATAGAACAGATCACAGAATCACAGGTCATAAAGCAATTTCCAATTTTCAAACAATCCTATTGTCCGAGTTCAGTGCCTAAAGTGCTGTTGTGCCCACTAGCCAAAGGCCTGGCTCCAAAACCATATCTTTAGTTTTTTCCTAAAAGTAATGAGGGAGGACGCCGATCTAATCTCACTGGGGAGCGAATTCCATAAGCGGGGGGTCACCACCGAGAAGGCCCTGTCCCTCGTCCCCACCAGACGTGTTTGAGACGCTGGTGGGACCAAGAGCACGGCCTCCCCAGTAGATCTTAAATTACGAGGTGGAARGTAGAGAGAGATACATTCAGATAAGTAAGCTGGGCCGGAGCCGTACCTCAGTTAGACACTTTCTACTACCCAAAATATGTACATAAACTGAGCAGTCCTGGATGGCTTATTATTTTGGTCCCCAGGACTCATTATTTCAGTCCTTGGAACCACAGGGACATCTGGACAGATGGACTCCTTTCTCAGACCATATGCCACCAATACATAAAGCTACATGGGAGAGATATTTTTTTAAAAAAATTAGGACTGTGGGTATAACTATGGAACTCCCTCCCCAGTGAAATTAGATCAGCCCCCTCCCTCCTGACCTAAGGGGAAAAACTAAAAACATGGCCCCGGGACCAAGCTTTTGGTCAGTAAATGAGAGCAGTGCAATAAGAGACTATAAAATAACATAATGACGACTTGGACCATCCCTGAAATATGACCTGAAATGTGTGTTGAAGTTTTAATGCTTGTTTTAATTGGTTGGATTTTAATGCTTTTGTTTATTTATTGGTGTAAATGCTGGTGATGCAGTGGGTTAAACAGTTGGGCTGCTAAACTTGTTGACCCAAAGGTTGCAGGTTTGAATCCAGGGAGTGGTGTGACCTTCCACTGTTAGCCCCAGCTTCTGTCAACCTAGCAGTTCAAAAACATATATATGTGAGTAGGTCAGTAGGTACCGCTCTGGTGGGAAGGTAACTGCGTTCCTTGCAGTCATGCCCATGGCCACATGGCCTTGGAGGCGTCTAAGGACAACACCGGCTCTTTGGCTTAGAAATGGAGATGAGCACCAACCTTCAGAGTCGGACATGACTGGACTTAATGTCAGGGGAAAACTTTTACCTTTACCTATGTATATATAGCATTGAATTGTTGCCTTTGTAAGTCTGCCCTTCAGGGTTGAGAAGGGCAGGGTATAAGTGTGGTAAATAAATAACTATTATTGTTATTCTCTTAACTACTCTGTCCTTAAACTATACACTTAACTTTAATATCTTTAAAAAGCCACTTTCCCATCTTTGCCCAGAATAGGAGGGCAGGAATATTGGATTGGCCATCAAAGGTACTACAACAAGGGGCCAGTTAAAGGAGAAAGAATTTATTTTCTGAGACAAGGTCCTCAAGCTTATGGCTTTCTGTTTTGACATTCTCTTCTCCCCTTCCCCATTCGTTTTAAGGCTGAAAGTCTCACTCATCAGTACACTATTCGGCTGAAGGAACATCTAACATGCCAGGGGTGTTCGTGCGAAACAAAGAAGGACAGCAACCTGCTAATGCTTCCTCTCCACTTGTTTGATTTTGATTCTCGTGCATTTAAGAAGTTGGTAGGTATATAAGGACATGCCTGGAGTTACATCCATGCCTCAAACTAAAACTGGAAGAATCAGGATGGTCAGGCCTCTAGCCAGAGGGGGTGGGGTTAAGGGTTCAACCTCCCTCCCGAAATTGTAAACCTGGTTTACTCATGAAGTTTAACTGGTTAACTAATTAGGCCTGAGTATGATGCTTCTGCCTTTTTCTTAAAGCCACTTCTCTTGTTTCAATATGGATTTTTTTAAAGCAAATGCAAGATGTACAAGTTCTTCTAGAGCAGGACTGCACAACATGCGGCCCGGGGGCCAGATACAGTCCTCACAAGGTTTTGGTGCGACCCACAGAGGCTCTGAGCCTAAGCATTAGAGTGGGAGATGACATGCAGCACTATAGCAAAGTAGCTATTGGAACCTGTTATTCCCCCTCCAAGGGCAGTTCCAGACAGGGGAAAAGTCCGGTGTGACCTGGGTTTTAAAAACCTGGGTAAGCCTGGACTTCTGTCCCCACACCAGTAAAAAACCCCACACTTTCCTGGGGTTGTGTCCAGATGCCCTGCCGGACCTTCCAGCAGGACACCCAGACACCAACAAAAACCCCACAGAAAAGCCTTAAAAAGTAAAAATTACTTATCTATCCAGCATTACCCTGCTACCAGCCCTCTCCTGGCATGCCATTTCTACACATCAGGGCCGGCAGCAGGATAATGTTGGCCAGGCGAGTAATTTTTCTTTAGAAGGCTTTTCTACAGGGTTTGGGGAGGGTGTTAGAACCCTCTCGGATGTTACAGGGTGAATCAGCCCAGAAAACCCTGGTTGTCTGTATCAGCCCCTCAGAAGTCCAGGACCTCTGAAGGGGGAATCCAGAGACTGGCCATACTTGATTAGATCCAAGTCTTCCAGGAAGACTCGGGTCTAATCCAGTATCAACTTAATTTGCCCCAAAGTAGGGTTTTTACGTGAGGCGTCATTTGGATACTCAATGTAAAAATCCAGGAGGGTGCACATTTTCCACCCTGTGTGAATGCACCCCAAGTGTTTTACCTCGACACATTTCCTTTATCTGTGCACCAAAGTTTCCAAACTACCCTGTGGCAAAGGGGCCCCACTGGTCAGGATACTGGAAGTGCTGGTTTTGGTTGGAAACACAACCTAGGTAGGTTGTCGGGACTTAGGTTAGAGTAGTGGGGAACAGGGATGAAGAGGAGGCTAGAGTGCGTGTGGTGCCAGAATCCCACCAATTCAGCTCAAACACATCTGAATGCCTTTTTAAGGTCCTACGGTGTGGCAATAACGGCGGCTCAGAAAATATTAATCACAGCCAATATTGCATCCGCGCAGAATCGTCCAGCTGAGCTTTTCCGAGTTGTCCGAGGTCTGTTAAATCCGCCAAAAAGCGAGATCTCGGATAACTCGGTGGCTCGCTGTGAAGCATTTGCTCGATTCTTCGCGGATAAAATTGAGCGGATTCGGTCGGGTTTTGACGTCATGTTAACGGCAGTCTCTGGGGATGTAACGAGAGCATCTGCTTGTCCAGTTTTGTTGGATTCGTTTTAAATTGGTTCAGCTTGAGGATGTGGATAGGATCCTTGGAGAGGTGCGACCCACCACATGCATCCTAGACCCCTGCCCTTCCTGGCTGATCAAGGAAGCCAGAGGGGGTTTGGCAGGGTGGGTGAAGGTGATGGTTAATACCTCCTTACAGAAAGGAGAGTTTCCAGCGAGCTTAAAACAAGCTATTATAAAACCGCTGTTGAAGAAACCGTCACTGGATCCCACCCAATTCGACAACTATCGGCCAGTTTCCAATCTCCCCTATTTGGGCAAAGTCATGGAACGTGTGGTGGCAACACAACTCCAGGGGTTTCTGGTAGACACTGATTATCTAGATCCGGCACAGTCTGGTTTCAGGCCGGGACATGGTACCGAAACAGCCTTGGTCGCCTTAGTGGATGATCTGCGCAGGGAACTAGACAGGGGGAGTGTGTCCCTGTTAGTTCTGCTGGACCTCTCAGCGGCCTTCGATACCGTCGATCACGGTATCCTTCTGGGACGCCTCATGGACATGGGGCTCGGGGGCACTGCTTTGCGGTGGCTCCGATCCTTCCTTGAGGGTCGGTCCCAGAAGGTGTTATTGGGTGACACCTGTTCGGCCCCACAACCGTTGTTGTGTGGAGTCCCACAGGGTTCAATTCTGTCCCCGATGTTATTTAACATCTACATGAAGCCGCTGGGGGAGATCATTCGGAGTTTCGGAATGAGATGTTATCTCTACGCAGATGATGTCCAAATCTGTCACTCCTTCCCACCTGTCACCAAGGAGGCTGTCCAGACCTTGAACCGGTGCTTGGCTGCTGTGTCGGACTGGATGAGCTAACAAATTGAAATTGAATCCAGACAAGACAGAGGTCCTACTGGTCAGTCGTAAGGCCGAACAGGGTATAGGGTTACAGCCTGTGTTAGACGGGTTACACTCCCCCTGAAGACGCAGGTTCGCAGTCTGGGGAGGGATCCTGGACTCATCGCTGAGCCTGGAACCCCAGGTCTCAGCGGTGGCCGGGAAAGCTTTTGCACAATTAAAACTTGTGCGCCAGCTGCGCCCGTACCTTGGGAAGTCGGATCTGGCCACGGTGGTCCATGCTCTTGTCACATCCCGACTGGATTACTGCAACGCACTCTACGTGGGGTTGCCTTTGAAGACTGCTCGGAAACTCCAACTAGTCCAGCGGGAGGCAGCCAGATTGCTCACCGGAGCGGCATACAGGGAGCATACCACCCCCCCTGTTATGCCAGCTCCACTGGCTGCCGATCCAATTCCGAGCACAATTCAAGGTGCTGGTTTTCACCTATAAAACCCTATACGGCCCCAGTGTATCTGTCCGAACGGATCTCCCTCTACATCCCACCTCGGAATCTAAGATCTTCTGGGGGGGCCCTGCTCTCGACCCCGCCTTTATCGCAAGTGAGACTGGCGGGGACGAGGAGCAGGGCCTTCTCAGTGGTGGCCCCCCACCTGTGGAACTCACTCCCCGGGGAGATCAGATCAGCGACTTCCCTTCTCTCATTTAGGAAAAAGCTGAAAACTTGGATGTGGGACCAGGCTTTTGGAAACTCTGGCAGCTAAAAAGAAAGACCATAATGATGGGCAAATAATGACGAAACCTATTGGACCTATGGAACTTGAAACACTGACCATGAGACTGTTTATTGTTGTGCTATTGTGTTATATACTGATGTTTTAATCTGTTAATTGTTTAATTATTGTAATTGTTTTTATTTGTATGTATTTGGATAAGGGCATCGAATTGTGCCTTCTTTTTGTAAGCCGCCCTGAGTCCCCCCTCGGGGGTGAGAAGGGCGGGGTATAAGTAGCAGAAATAAATAAATAAATAAATAAATAAATAAATGTCAAGGGGAATATTTTTTTTCAGGGGAGTTGAATCTTGGGCCCCAGGTTAAATGGCTAATTTAACATTAGATTGGCAATTTTAGAGAGAGAGAGAGAGAGAGAGAGAGAGGTGGTAAAAAAGAAGTGTCTTAGTTCTCGCCTCTACCAACTTCATGCTATTTATTTCCCTTGTTTATGAGGGAGAAACTTAGTTTCACCATGAAAGCATTGCAGGTGCTTCATGGAGAAGCTAAGATTCTTCCTCACAAATGAAAGAAATAAATGGTGTGCAGAGTTGGCTGTTTCTGCCTCTAGAGAAGGAGATGATAGAGCCAACCCAGAGGCAAAGAGAAAGGAAGAGCGGAGGAATCAAGAATGGAAGCACCTTTTCCTTCCCTTGGAAAAGGGCTGCAACTCAACGGCATACTGATGGGGAGTCAGGGAAATCGAGACTATTCTCATAACTGCCATATAATTTAGACTGCCATATAATTTAGATTATCAAATCAGATAATCCACATTATCTGCTTGGAACTGGATCATATGAGTCTACACTGCCATATAATCCAGTTCAAAGGAGATAATCTGGATTTTATATGGCAGTGTAGATCCAGCCTGAGCGAGATGCTAAAAACCTACCTACAGCCCAAAGAGGTTGTTTATTCGTTCAGTCGCTTTCGACTCTTTGTGACCTCTTGACCTGCACACGCCAGAGCACCCTTGTTGCCCGTGGCCACCCCCAGCTCCTTCAAGGTCAAGCCAGTCACAAGGATAACATATATCCATCTTGCACTTGGTCGGCCCTTCTTCCTTTTTCTGCCCATTTTCCCCAGCATCATTATCTTCTCCAAGCTTTCTTGTCGTCTCATTATGTGACCAAAGTATTTCATCTTTGCCTTTTATATCCTTCCCTCCAATGAACAGTCGGGCTTTATTTCCTGTAGTATGGACTGGTTTGATCTTCTTACAGTCCAAGTCTTAGCCTATTTTAATTTCATCCCTTTACTACTGTCAAGTTGTGCAGGTCTGTTCTAGAGTTTTGGCTCTCCCATGTTTTGAAAAGCACAGTTGATGGGCAGGAGCTCCAGAAAGGTGCAGGAAAGATAAAGCGGGAAAAAGCTCCGTGTTAGAATTGTCTAAGTGGTTGATTAAAGACCTCCATAGGGATGAGAAGTTTAAAAAAACCCCACAGAGACTGGGGGACTGAGGTACAGTTCTATTTTTGGGAGTCAACTAACTATACATCCTATTGTTTGTGTTTTGTGGGGCTTGTTGTGGCATTGAGCAAAGCTGAAAGCTCACTTGTGGATCAAGACAGGGAGGTAGAGGTGTATTCAGATCAGACCTTGGAAACCCCCTCCCCCCCAGTACTACTTCCACAACCACTGGCTGGTGGATTTGTTTTTAAGCTACTTTTTTTCAATCTCTGGTCTAGATGTATTGAAAAACATGCTGAGGGTCGTAGTCTTGACACATCAGAAGGGCACTAAATGGGGAAAGTTGGCTTAAAAGGAAATTGAGGAGACAAATCTGCATTTTGCTTCATATAAACTTCTTTGCTCTTTATAGGAAGATGCATTGCACTATTTTTTTGAATCAGAACAAATGACGGAAGAAAGTACATTTCTCTGCAAGCAATGTAACCAGAAAGTACCAAGATTGCGGGTAATTTTGTCTTTTTTCTGTGAATTGGGGAGCTTTGCCACTTTTTTTTTTTGAAAATTCACCATCTTCTCAGGCTCCTTTGGTGGGGATAAGAGGCAGGGCCTTCTTGGTGGCTGTTCCCAGAATTTTGAAAACTCTCCCTAAGGTGGCCATGATGGCTCTGACCTTGCCCTATTTTTGTTGGTGACTTAAAACATTAATTTTTCAGGTATCCACTGGTTTAATGCTATATGACCCCGATTTTAAGGTTTTATATAGTCCTTAAAGTTTGTAACTTCATAATTATTTCATTATGTATAAAACAACATTTATATTTATTCTTTTATTTATTCTTTTACTGAAGTTTTCATATAGTTTGCAATTAGTATTGTTTTAAATATATTTTTAAGCACCTTGAGTTTCAATATCGGGTGAAAAATAGGGCAATAATAATCCTGGGTTGCTGTGAGTTTTCTGGGCTGTATGGCCATATTCCATAGTCTCTCCTGTTGTTGTTTCGCCCACATCCATGGCAGGCATACTCGGAGATTGAGGACTCCTCAACTTCTGAGGATGCCTGCCATAGATGTGGGCGAAATATCCGGAGAGAATGCTTCTGGAACATGGACACACAGCCCGGAAAACTCACAGCAACCCAGCGATTCTGGCCATGAAAGCCTTCAACAATAATAATACTGATTATGACATTAGGAATATTTATTCTCTGTCTTCTTGTGGGAAGAAATCAGGAAGGGGCTTTGTGCTGGTGGTCACCTGAGTGCGGGATCTAGATTTTCTGAAAGCGGAAAGGTCCACAAGATATTTTCTACTCATAGGATCTCTATTCCCTTTTTGCCTATGCCATCCTCTGCTCTCTAGTCTTTCCTTCCAATATTAATGCAGGGTGATTTTGCAGGGTATGAAAGTCACATATCTGCCACAGACGCTCACCCTTCACCTGAAACGGTTCAGCTCCAGTGAAAGACATCGAACTCGGAAGATCAACAATCCTTTATCCTTCCCACAAAGTCTGGATTTCAGCCAGATCTTGACCCCAGAACAGTATTGTCCAGATATCCAGGAAAAGGTAGGATATTTCTCTGCATCATTATTCGCTGTGTGGTCTTAGAAAACTTCATGAAATGGGTTGAGTGTTGGTCATAGGAAGCTCATGTACACTTGAAAATGTATCACTGTCTGTGTGATGAACTAGAAATAATAATAATAATAATAATAGTAATAATAATAATAATAATAATAATAATATACAGTTTATTTATGTTCCACCCTTCTCCTCTAAGGGACTCAGAGTGGATTACAGCACTTACATAGGTAGGCAAACATTCAATGCCTTTTACGAACATATACAATGAGACACATAAACACAAACAAAAGCAGAGGGTTCTTCTGGAGGTGGTTCTCATCTCTGGCTCTGGGGAGGTGCTTTTTCCTTTTTCAAGCCAAGGAACCTGCGTTGTTACTTCCTGGTTGTGTGGCCGGCAAGATTGCTTGGAGTGTCTCTTTGCTTTTTCCTGCTGAAGCAGTACCTATTTATCTGTTTTCGAACTGCTAGGTTGGCAGGACCTGGAACTTACAGATGGGAGCTCACTCCGTCTCACGGATTTGAACTGCCGACCTTCAGGTCAGCAGTTCAACAGCACAAGGGTTTACCCCATTGCACCACCATGGCTCCTATTATCCATAGCAAGTATAGGTGGTGGTGAAGAATTATGGATGTTACAGTCATAGAATCAAAGAATCAAAGAATCAAAGAGTTGGAAGAGACCTCATGGGCCATCCAGTCCAACCCCCTGCCAAGAAGCAGGAATATTGCATTCAAATCACCCCTGACAGATGGCCATCCAGCCTCTGCTTAAAAGCTTCCAAAGAAGGAGCCTCCACCACACTCCGGGGCAGAGAGTTCCACTGCTGAACGGCTCTCACAGTCAGGAAGTTCTTCCTAACGTTCAGATGGAATCTCCTCTCTTGTGGTTTGAAGCCATTGTTCCGCGTCCTAGTCTGCAAGGAAGCAGAAAACAAGCTTGCTCTCTCCTCTCTGTGGCTTCCTCTCACATATTTATACATGGCTATCATATCTCCTCTCAGCCTTCTCTTCTTCAGGCTAAACATGCCCAGTTCCCTAAGCCGCTCCTCGTAGGGCTTGTTCTCCAGACCCTACGACACCTGAAGTCTGCCAACTTCAGGTGTTGACTATGGGAATTATAGGTGTCGCAGCCTGCCAACTCTGTTCCACACATCTGTCGGACCATTAGTCCTTTTAATTCAGTTTGGTTGCCCGTGACTTGGAGCAGTTCTATAGGTTGCAAACAAGCAGACTTCTGAAGATACCATATATAGGCATGCTGACAGTGTAATTTATGGATGAACTTCAGTCGCTCCTAGAAGTGTTTTTGTATGCACCAGGTTTAGCTAGAAAGTACCAAACTGGGTGGAAATTTTCAAATGGCCTAAAATGATATATATACATTGACCTAATCCTTTCCCTGCATCAGACTGTGGTGGTGTAGAGCGGGGTAATTGAACCTATATCCGGATGGATTCCCGTCTGCAGTCTATTTTAACTGACAACATATTTAAAGTGTTTTAGGTAGAAGTCTTTTCTAATCCTTCCCAGTTATGCTTGGGATTGAACCTGGGACTTCTTGCATGCAAAGCATATATTCTGTCTGTGCTACTCAAAGTCTGACCTACTTTTACTTCTCACCCTGGTATTTAAATTGGAGTCACCAGTAAATCTGTTTGCTTTTTGCTGTGTACAGTATAACCCTTCAAGGAGCAAAGGTTTGGGAAAAAAGGTGGAAGCAGGAGAACTGCTACTACTCTGAAATCTCAGAAGTTTACGTGTCCGAACGTATCTCTCCCTATGAACCAGCAAGGAGCTTAAGATCATCTGGGGAGGCCCTGCCCTTCGCAGATGTGATTGGCGGGAACGAGAGACAGGGCCTTCTCAGTGGCGGCCCCTCGGCTATGGAACGCCCTTCCTAGGGATATCAGATCAGCCCCCTATCTCCTAACATTTCGAAAAAAAGTTTAAACCTGACTTTTTGAGCAAGCATTTGTAAATACAGTGTAACAGACTAATTTAGATTCATGGAACGATTGGTTATGCGACAGGAAAATTATTTTAATAATGAGATGCTGAGGACTTGTGTTTTATTGTTTTTATTGCTTCTATTGTTTTTATATGGTTTATATTATATGTTAATGTTTTTAATTATATTTTATGTTGTTGGGGGCATTGATTGCTGATTGTAAACCAGCTTGAGTCGCCTTCAGGCTGATATAAATATAGTAAATAAATAAATCTGGGTTGTGGTTCCTCTGAAAGTGTCTATTATGTGTGGCTCTTTCCAGGATGATGGGGTATATGATCTTTTTGCTGTTGTTGCACATGTGGGATCTGCTGACTTTGGTCATTATTGTGCCTACGTTTGGAGCCTCACAGAACACAAATGGTATTGTTTCAATGATTCCAGTGTCTGTCAGGTAAGCAAACTAGAACCTACAAAGTAAGAAATCTTTCCTCAATTTACCTGAACATCTTGAAAAGAGTAGGACCTGAGATCTAAAAGGTTTTAGCACACTGGCCATCTTTCAATGGATTTGGAGCCATTCTCCCCCAAGCCCATTGGAGATCTAAGATAGCTATAGTAATGGGACGGTGTTTATCTTTCTTCAACAATAAAAGCAGAAAGGATTCAACAACATTGGCCTTCATATATCACAATGATATAATTTAAAAGTGCAAGGATTTTCTAATACAAAATAACTCCTTGTAATATATACAAACAAAACTGAACATATCCAAATCCTTTAACACAAGGAAGCATTATCTCTATTGCATTATCAACATTTAGTTGAACCAGACACTTCCTCCCTAAATAGGTGGTTTTGCTGCACGGTTCACACAATGTGATTCTTCCACCCTTGATCACCGGAGCAGCATACTGGGAGCACACAACCCCTCTGTTATGCCAGCTCCACTGGCTGCCAGTCTGCTACCGAGCACAATTCAAAGTGCTGGCTTTCATCTACAAAGTCCTAAATGGTTCTGGCCCAGCTTACCTGTCCAAACGTATCTCCCTCTATGAACCATCACAGAGGTTAAGATCTTCTGAGGAGGCCCTGCTCTCGGTCCCACCTGCTTCGCAAGTGTGGTTGGTGGGGACAAGGGACAGGGCCTTCTCAGTGGTGGCTCCCCAACTCTGGAACTCTCTTTCCAGTGAGATAGATCAGTGCCCTCCCTCCTGACCTTTAGAAAGAGAACTAAGACATGGTTATGGAACCAAGATTTTGACTAGTAAAGTAGCGCATATGCACTATGTGTAATTGGCATCTGGAATGGCCCAGTCTATGAGTTTGGATCATGTGAATTTAATGTTTTATTAGGTGTTTTTAATTTTTATACTTTATGTTTAAATCCCTTATTATCTTATGGTGAATTTGTCCTATTGTATTTTATACTTAGTCGTATGCTGTTTGATTTATGATTTGGTTGATGCATGTTAGGCATTGAATTTTGCCATTATTTTTTGTAAACTGCTTTGAGTCCCCCAGGGGTGAGAAAAGCGGTATATACATACTGTAAATAAATAAATAAATGATTTGCCTATTCTAAGAATGGTCTAGAATCATAGAATTATAGAGTTGGGAGAGACCTCATGGGCCATCCAGTCCAACCTCCTGCCAAGACGCAGGAAAATTGCAGTCAAAGCACCCCCGACAGATGGCCATCCAGCCTCTGTTTAAAAGCTTCCAAAGAAGGAGCCTCTACCACACTCTGGGGCAGAGAGCTCCACTGCTGAACAGCTCTCACAGTCAGGAAGTTCTTCCTCATGTTCAGATGGAATCTCCTTTCTTCCTGCTTCTTGGCAAGGGGTTGGAGTGGATGGCCCTTGAGGTCTCTTCCAACTCAAGGATTTGGTGATTCTAAGTAAATCAGAATTCAAAGTCTGTAAGAAAAAAAGGTATCTTTCTGTAAATTGTTGTATTGTCAACACTAGGTGTAGTTGGGACTTTTAATAAGTCTCATACCCATGTTCTTTGTGCTTTACACTATATAGGTATTTTGGGACGATATCAAATGTACCTATGGAAGAGCATCTCTCCGTTGGTAAGTGGAGAGGATTCCTAATTTTTCTCCTGATCTTACAAGAAAGGCCAGAGTGATGGTGGCAATGATGTTAACATATTCAAACTGCAATTGCATCAAGTTAAATAGCATAATTCAATATATCCTCCCTTTCCCCATGCACAATTTAAAAAAAATGTATTGACTTCCAACAAAATACAGCCTGGTGAGGCATTTTCTAGGCCCTCCAATGTGATATTCTTGGGCTGAAAGTCCTTCATTTCAATAGGTTTCACTGCTATCCATGATTTTGCATTTTCACATCCACTCCGGGAACATATCCCTTGCAGATAATGGGTGTAGGCATGTATAACAGTTATGCAAGAGACTGAAAGATAAACTCCATGCTATGTTGAATATGCAATATGTAGTTAAAGATCCTTATATTCTTTATATTTGTGTAAGTATGCGCCAATGAGAAGATTTAAACTAGGGGTTGGAATTCTGTGGATCTCCAGATGTTATCGGACTGCAGCTCCTACCCTGTTTCCAGAAAAATAAGTCCTCCCCTGAAAGTAAGACCTAGCAAAGCTTTTGTGTGGAAGCATGCTCCCCTTGATGGACGGAAGCTGCAATACTGTCCCTGCTGTACAAGTGGTCCAGGAACTGTTGTGGGAGATCGTTACAGTCTCCAGACAGTGTGTGGGAGCCAGGTACTTTACTTCCCTTATTTTTTGTGGCCCTGTGTGTGGGCCAGTATATTTATTATATACTTACAACTACTGTACAGTATATAATAAATGTTCATTTTTTTTGTTCAACAATAAATGTGAATTCTTCATCATGGAAAAATAAGACATCCCCTGAAAATAAGACCTAGCACATTTTTGGGAGCAAAAATTAATATAAGACACTGTCTTATTTTGGGGGAAACAGGGTAGCAGGCTTGCAAATCCCAGCTTGGTCAGTAGTAAGGGACACTGAGAGTTGCAGTCTAGTAATGCACAGAAGGCTGGGTAGTTCTCATCCTGAGTTTTAAAGCTTCCTTGCACTTGGAGCAGAAGGAGAAAGCGAATACCACTTCCATCCATGACCTAGAATCATAGAATCCTAGAGTTGGAAGAGACCTCATGGGCCATCCAGTCCAACCTCATTCTGCCAAGAAGCAGGAATATTGCGTTCAAAGCACTCCTGACCATCCAGACATCCAGCCTCTGTTTAAAAGCTTCCAAAGAAGGAGCCTCTACCACACTCCGGGGCAGAGAGTTCCACTGCTGAATGGCTCTCACAGTCAGGAAGTTCTTCCTCATGTTCAGATGGAATCTCCTTTCTTGTAGTTTGAAGCCATTGTTCCGTGTTCTGCTTCCCATTGTTCAGGGAAGCAGAAAACAAGCTTGCTTCCTCCTCCCTGTGACTTCCTCTCACATATTTATACATGGCTATCATATCTCCTCTCAGCCTTCTCATCTTCAGGCTAAACGTGCCCAGCTCTTTAAGCCGCTTTTCATAGGGCTTGTTCTCCAGACCCTTGACCTGCACTTGTACTCAATATTCCCAATCCATATTGGGGTTTTCCATGTTTCGTTGGAAATGAGCTGAGGAAAATCAAATTCATGGTTTGCCTGGCTTCTTTTGTGCCAATGCATTTTGATGACTTGATGCACCTTGACCAGTATGGTACATCTTTGATGTTCTTTCTTCCTTCTTTTGTCTTTCTTGTAGGGGAGAAACAGCCTATCTCTTGGTCTACATGAAAAAGAATTGCAAGGAGCTCTGATCAGATTGATGAACTTTCTGAGCAACTGGAGAGATAATCACGAGCAGAATAATGACATTTTCTATGTTATCAGTGAATGATCAAATCCCCCAAAGTCAAAATTGCAAATGTGGAGGGATGACTGTATGTGAAAGCCCTATTATGATATCTGCTCAACTCATATGAATGCTATGAACCATTAGGTTTGTACATTTTTGTTGCAGGCACTCACATATGATAGATGGGTGTTTAGACAGTATTAGTTTGTGAAACTGTTTTTGTGTGGATTCCCCTGGCCTAAAGATTGACAGCCTGACCCTGCAGAACACTATCTACCTTTGAAAAGAAACATGTTCATAGAAGACGAGGCAAGCAATTCACAGGCTTGGAAAACGGAGGTCATAAAAGCTTTTAAAGAGAATGTTTGCTAATTTGATAGGAATTTGGTATTACATCAAAACTAATCTCAGACATGCTCCATCACCTAATACTTTTCAGAACTTGCTTTGAAGTGTTTTATGTTTTATGAAAGAACGATGTCTGGCAAAACGTCTATTTTTTTTTAATTCAGCACAAAAAGACACATTAAAAACAACATCAATATATTCTTTTCATGTCAGGAGCGACTTGAGAAACTGCAAGTCGCTTCTGGTGTGAGAGAATTGGCTGTCTGCAAGGACGTTGCTTAGGAGACGCCTGGATGTTTGACGTTTTGGCCTCCTTGTGGAAGGCTTCTCTCATGTTGCCACATGGGAAGCTGGAGTTGACAGAGGGAGCTCGACACGCTTCCCCTGGATTAAAACTGCAGTCCTGTCAGCACAAGGGTTTAACCCACTGAGCAATAGTGAATATTTTTTAATCATCTGGTGTGATGATAACCAATGTTGCTTAGGATCTTTGCTGATATATATATATTTCAATTTATAAATGTGTAAGAATACAGTTTTGGGTATCTGTCCATATGTAAAATATACTGACATTCTTAATTTATGTAGCATAGCTGACATTGTTAATTAATATATATTCTATGTAATGTATACTGATTATACAGCGAATTAAGTTATTGTGAAGCAGGCATGCTATTATTATATTTTGTTGACTTTGACAGCTAAGTTGTTCTTTTAGGAGCGTGTGATGCCCCTGACCTATTGCAAAACGAAATGCCACAAACGTCTGTGCAACCCTACACATTATCCAGAACTCTTCAGCACTGGTGGCGTTGTTTTTGTTGTTGTTGTTGTTGTTGTTCTTCTTCTTCTTCTTCATCATCATCATCATCATCATCATCATTATCATCATCATTTGTTGAATCTCATATCCCACCTTTCCACCAATAAACTCTAGAATGTAGATGTTGCTCTTTTCCTTTTACACATGATCCTCGCAATAATACTTTGGAGTAGATCATGCTTAGAGAAATGATTGTCCAAAAGATGTTTTTTTGCCAGGTCATCAAAGCCCTAGTCCAGTGGTTCTCAACCTGTGGGTCCCCAGATGTTTTGGCCTTCAACTCCCAGAAATCCTAACAGCTGGTAAAGTGGCTGGGATTTCTGGGAGTTGTAGGCCAAAACACCTGGGGACCCACAGGTTGAGAACCACTGCCTTAGTCCAACATATACCATGAATAACAGGCTGGAGTGATGAAGGATGGATGAGAAATTCATGAAAGTTCATAAGAACTCATAAGAGTGCATGGGGGGGGTGTACATGGAAGTGCAGGGGAGCACTGAGCAGTCGGAGTCCATTCATAAAAACAGGAGGAGAGATAGGGGATTATGGAATCCAATCCAATAAGCCTTTATTGGCATATACACAGCAAAAAGGTATAAAATACAGTACAAACCATAGAAAAGGGAACTTCACGTATGCTACACATTCAGTTTACAGACTTATGAGATCATTCCAGCCTGGTGTCCTTGACAAAACTATCTTTAACAAAGTCCTAGGGGTGGGGTCATCTCCGATGACATTCCCCACTTCGGGGCTTGAAAATGGCTATGCCCATTTCCCAAAACCCCGACATCTTACTGCATCCAGGGCCTCTGCCTGGACATATCAGATTGTGCCTTTTTGTTAGAAGGCAGGAGCTTGAAGAGGTGAAAGCTGAGGTTCAGGCGGTGGTGGGTGATCACATGGTGTTGAAGCAGGCTCCCTTGGCCTGGAGTCAAGGGATATGGATGAAGATAGAGACGATGAAGAGTTCTGGGGTGATAAAGGCTTTGAGTAGTCAGTGTGGAGTGCGCAAAGGTCTTGAGTGGGTCCCAAGCAGAGATGATGACGATTTGAAGCATGTGGTGGGGTTCTTCCACTTGGCCTCCTGGGGGCGCTGGCTTCTTCTGGCTGTGGCTTCCCCCTTGGCATTGGGGAGGGAGGAGACTGGGCACAGGTTTTGTCACCCTTCTCTCAACTTAGCGTCTCCCGGTGACCACAAACAGGTCCAGCATTCCACCAGGATGGGGATCAGGAATAGAGTGTCTAGGAGAGCCAGAAAGAGAGTTTACAGCCCCCCATTCCCCTCCTGGCCCTAGTATGGTTAGCATGGGGAAGGGAGAGAGAGAGAAGGAAATCTTTCATACCTGGTGAGGGGTCCAGCAGTCCTGGGGTTCTTCTTTGGCACAGCTCTGGCAAGGGCAGGACATCCTTCCTTCGTGGCAGTCATTGTAGGATCCTGTTTGCTTCTCCTGTGGCATCTCCTGCAATGGTGGACAATTCTGTCTCCTGACACCATGAGGGTCTCCTTAACAGCATCAAAGGCAGACCAGCACTCAGTAATCCTTTAGGGCAGAATCTGGCCAGCTGGGAAGGGCCATGCAAAAGCTTGCCATGGTTAGGAATCCTCTCAGCTTGCCTCAGTCCCTACCCCCTGGTCCAGACAGATGGGGCTGCTTCCCCCGTGGGGGTCTCAGATCCCCTTCTGGATGTCTGAGGTGTCCAGGCATGCCCTCTCAGGACAGTCTCCTGTGACCTCTGGGTTTCAGCTGTCACACGAGAAAATCCACAGCACTCCCAGACCCATCACCTCGGTCTCAGAACTGTTCATGGTGGCAGGGTCTTGCAGTCTGGTCTGATGTGGATCTTCTTCAGCTGTACCCCCAAGACTCTGCTGGGCCCTTCTCAAATTTAAAAGCAGTGAGAGCATTAAAACATTCACACACATGCACTCAGGGAAAAAAGAGACGGACCAGGAAGGACGAGAAGAGGCTGTTTGGGAAAAATGGGGAGAGAAGAGAGAAAGAGAGAGAAAGAGAGAGAAAGATCCTTGACTATAGAGGTAGAATAGAATCTTGACTGTATGTGATATAAGGAGGAATTTTGACATTCGGAGTCCCCTGTGCAGGAGGAGGAAGCGGTGGGGGTTGAAGAAAAAAGGTTGAGATGTGGTTTTTTTTGGCCTAGGACAATATGAGGTGGAGGAGGAAAAAGAAAAAAACTCATGTACGGAGAGGTACATCCTTTCTTAAAATGATCAGAGAGGGGCAGCAAGGAGGAGAGAGATGGGTCCTTCTCCCATGAACAGGGAGAAAAGGGGTATGTGTGTGAGGTGGCACAGAAGGTAAGCAGGGGGAGAAATACTGAAGAGTTCATTCTAGACCTTTCCCCCAGAAAACTACATATCTCTGGTGGCATTTTCTCAAGGACCAGCAGAGAGCAGAGAGGAGTATGCAATTCAGACAGTACATAAAATTCAACCAACACTTTAGCTAAAGCCCCCCCCCCCCCGAATCCTTTTGTCACGCTTCCTAGATGGGTGTGAGAGAGAAAAACAGGAGCAGAAGCAGAGAATAGGTCCCTGTAGCAGCTCCCCTCCCCTTTCCAGGTTCCAAAGGAAAAGAAGACAAAAAAGGTCACTTTGCAAGGCACCCCTCTTCCCCCTCCTTTTTTTCTGTAGAGAGAAAAAAAGGCAAGTTCTTTTGAAAACCCTAGGAAGAAAAAGGCCTGGCCAATGTTCATATAGAAGAAAATGCAGAGACAGCCCTAAAGTGAATATTGGCAACAGTCTTTGGAAAATGAGGTTTGTAGTTGCAGAGAACAAAAGGGAGATAGAGGGGAGGAGAAGAGGTAGGTGGCAGAGAGTTTAAGTTGAAGGAAGAGCAGCAATTAAGTAACTCCCTGATTTACAAAGGAAGGGAAGGAGAGCCCTGGGGCCAGGAAAGAAAAAGTGGTTCCTTCTACAGTTCATTTCCCCCAGCCACCCCCCTTTTCTCCAAAGAGGGCCACAGGAAAGAGAGAGAGAGTTCTCTTGTAAAGGAGGAGAAAATAGGATCTGGTCATGCTTTTCCCCAGAAACATGCTGTGTGTTTTGGTTTTTTTTTTGAGGTGAAGTGTGGGAAAATGGCTGTACCTTCCCTTTGCAGTTTATGGAGGTGGCAAAGGAGAGAAGAAAAGGAAATGCTCTGGGAGAGCAAACAGGGATTCTGAAGAGCAAATGGGAAAGGAAGGGGAGGGGGTCATGGAGAGGAAGGAGGAACTAAAATGTCTAGGGTATTACCCTCTTGGGCAGGGAGGGGGGGGTCTAGAGAGTGATTTCAGGGGGCTGGGGGTGGGATCCCTACATCCTTGCATGGTAAGAGCTGGGCTCCCATTCCCCCTTTCTCCCTCCCTTTGGCACATGGTCATAAAGCATGCAGCATAGGCCAACTTTAGGATGGTCTTGTTCTAGAGCTAAAATTTAGGGGTCTTTGCCAGGAGGCAGAGACCAATTAGACTAATCAAAGAGTTCTTTTTCCTGGCAAGACAGAGAAGCATCCCATATTTTTCCCTGATTTCCCAATGAAAAGTCTCACCAGTTGAAGAAAAGCCATCGAGGTTTAATGAGATTCAGCTGAAACGGATGCAAAGTTGCAATCATTCGCCAAAGCTAAGCATAAAGAAATACATTTGATACAGCCATTTATATAGTTTTTTTAAAATTGCAGAGTTCAAACTCCCCGCCCCGGCTTCCCTGTTGTTCCCTGCCATGATTGGGTGATGGGCTCCAGTGGTCCGTAGGAACCAATGGGGAGACCTCTGCCACCTGGTGGCGACAGCCAATCAGGAGAGATGGAGGCGGGATAAGGGAGCACAAAGGAATCTGGGAAAGGGGTAAACAAAGGAAATGCCATGCCATGTGGCCGGCGAGACAAAGGCCAGCCTGATCTATTGTGCTTTGAGTGGAATGAATAATCAGAGCGAAGGCAAAAGGTTTTTTCAAGGACCTTTTTTTCAAAGGTTTTTTTCTTCAGGAGGAAATATGATTAAGATTTTTGCCAAAGGGGCAAGCTGAGGGCTGGGCAATTCCTTTTGTGGAGTTTCTTCATGTATATAGGGGAAACAAAGGTCAGAAGAAAAGGGGAAAGGCTTCTGCCAAACAAAGAAATCAGAAAACACATTTCATATATCTAAAGTTCATAAAAGGCAAGATTTCATAAGGTTTGTCCATGTGGGGGGAAAGAGTGTCCATAGGGGATGGCTAAAACGCAATGGTGTTGCACAAAGGTCCTGGCAGGAGTTCTTGAGTGGCCCAAATGGACCTGGTGTCTCTGGAAACAAGCTTTGCTCCCCGTCCTTGGAGAACTACAGCTCCCGAGAGAGGCAGAGACCCTAAGGTCTAGCGCATGCTCGACGTCAGTCTCCTGGTCCCAGCTGCCATGAACTGGCCAGCTGGCCCCTTCCTCGAGGGTTCTGAGTGGCCACTTCTTCAAACAAAGCCTGGCCATTTTTGGCTGGATGCAGGGAAGAACTTGCCAGCCCGCCCCAGTCAGCCAAAACTTTACCCAATGGTGTTTCTTGTGAGACGGGACGTCCTTGGTGAGAAGAGCATGCACCCAATATTAGTCTTAAGTAAAACATCTGCACCAACAGTTTCTTCACCTCATTTGAACAATTCTAACTGCTACAGAAGAGCTAGAGTTACATCAGCCAGGCTATAGCACAACTGGTTAATCACTAGCAGCAATAAATCTCTGCCAACTGGAAGGTGGCAAGTTCGAAGGCCGAGTCAGGTATGAGCTCCCAACTGTTAATAGCCCAGCTTACTGTTCACCTAAGCAGTTCGAAAACAGTGAGCTGAGAGTAGAGAAATTAGGGTTCGCTTAATGCAGGGAGATTAATTTAGGACCCCATTAAAAATGTCAAAGATCAAAAAGAAAGGAGGAAATACTATGATCAAAGGCTCAGCATCATAATGGATGAAGCAACAGCTCCCCTTGTGGCTGGAATCAAGCAACCTCCAGGAACTGAAGTTGGTAAAAATGCTGAATTATCTCTGTGTGTCTTGTATGTCTAAAAACGGCACTGAATATTTGCTGTGTACGTGTGCATTGTGATCTGCCCTGAGTCCCCTTCGGGGTGAGAAGGGCAGAATATAAATACTGTAAATAAATAAATAAATAAAGCATCCAAGTTTTTGGTGGAAGTTTGCTTGCTGCTTCATCTTTGCATGCTCTTCTTCCCTACCTAGTTCTTAAAAAGGCCAGAGTAATTACAATTAGTTTCAGAATAGCAGATAAATCAATGATTGCTCAACATCCATTTTAGACTTGACAGAGAATTTACAGGGAGATTTCTGGCTTCTTTAATAACCAGGGTTTGTAGTGGGATCTGTCATTGGCGGAGGGGGATCTACAGTAGAGAAGGTCTTGGATACTTCAGTTTGCTAAACAGACTTAATTTCACCCCATCAGAACCAGTAAAAACCAAGACTTGAAACCTTACAAAGCTGTCTTTATTTGAATACACTTTCAACACTTTCCCAGAAAAAAAAATCTGTCCTCATGCCACTTTCCACCAGCCCATAAACCCAAAATAATATCACTAGTTCTTGATAAGGCTAGTCACTTCCATCACTTCATTACTAGACATAGTACTATGCTTTGGGTCATATCAGGACTCCATTTTAAAATGTGTGTTTTGGAAAGTCTCACAATGTAAGTTTCCCCCAGGCAGTTTCTCTCCACACACAAACACCCTTCCCACCCACCGATCTATAAATGTAGTGCTCCCAATAATATCACTAGTTCTTGACAAAATAATTAATTACCATCACTTCCACATTAACAGGTCATAGCAGGATTTTGCCATTTTAAAATATGTGGGGGTTTGGGATGAGTGTAATGTCTATTTTGAAGTGACTCCTGGGCAGCCTGTCACCCACAATTTACATCAAGTGAATTTGCCTCTCATTATATATATAATCCAGTACAGTCCTGCCCTCTGCAGCAATAGCAATATTACTACAACTGATCTTGCCTCACTCTTTGGTCTCCTTCAGTAGGTGGCTTGGGCAACCGAATGAAAGGTCCCACAAGCCAAGAGAGGGGTGTGTGATGGGTTATGTATTCCCGCAGCTCTTCCATATATTCTTGAGCTTTTTGCACTGTCCGATAGCTTTGGGCCAAGATGGTGTTGGAGAGTTCCTGGAAGGAGCCAGCATTTGATAAGGAAGCATGGAGTTCTTTGGTGTTTTCACGGATTTGATGCATCTTGTCTTGCAAGCTGGAAGGAAATCCTTGTATGCTAGACGTCAATGTCTGGAAAGTGGTCTGCAGCTGTTGGATCATGTTCTGGAACATTGTGATAGCACGGAGGTCTACCTCCTAAAATACACAGATCATTACTCAGCACCAATAGGAGCACGTCAAAGTACTTCTATTAATACAAAACATGATCATAGAGCGAAAACAAACCTTTCGCTCTGTTTATCAGTATTACAACAGTTGAGTGCAAATCTTAACACCTTTATTTAAAGTAAAAATTACTTATTCCTTAGCCCTGGCAACTGTAGCTCTTCTCATAACTATCTCATGCAACAAACAAAACCTCCTTTGGGTTGTCAAAGGCTTTCATGGCCGGAATCAATGGGTTGCAGTGAATTTTCCAGCCTGTATGGCCATGTTCCAGAAGCATTCTCTTTGGAGAATGCTTCTGGATCATGGCCATACAGCCTGGAAAACTCACAGCGACCCAAAGCCACCTTTCTTTACATTTTCCTCAACCATTGGGCCAAAGCAGCATATTCAATGGTGAAGGATTGTGGGAATTCTAGTCCAAAAGCATGTACAGCATAACTAGCTAGAGTATAATCCCTACAAGCTGTTTTTGCATCCCTTGATTCTCCTTTCTTCTCTACACACCAACCTTCTTTCCAGCTAAAAGAAAAGGAGACACTCCTTTCTTGGGTCTTCCAAGAAAGACAATATGGATCATGTTCATTTTATTCCAGTAGTTCCCAACCTGTGAGCCATGAGACCTAAAATAAGGGCTGTGAGACATGCAGGGAAAATTGGTGTGCCAGAGGTGTGGGCTGCCGTTGGAGGAGAGCGAGAGAGAGAAGAAAGGAAGGAAAAGCGAGTGCATTGCCCTCACCAGCGCTTTCTTGACCTTAGGAGGTTTCCCAGGCCAGGACGGAGAAAACCCACCTGGCGGCAATTTTTTGCAATGCAATATTCTGAATCAGCACCACTAATAACCAAACCAAACCAAATCTGAAGTTGACCAAAAACTGATTCGTAATCCTTTTGGTACTAATGTTGGAGAGTGGTCTCTGGTCAAAGTGGTCCCCGCTCAAATGGTTCCTGGTCAAAACAAGGTTGGGAAACACTGTTTGTTGTGTCAGGAGCGACTTGAGAAATTGCAAGTTGCTTCTGGTGTGAGAGAATTGGCTGTCCGGGTGTCCCCTGGATGTTGCCCAGGGGACACCTGGATGAATTGATGTTTTTATCATCCTTGTGGGAGGCTTCCCTTATGTTCCCGCATGAGGAGCTGGAGCTGATAGAGGGAGCTCATCTGCCTCTCCCCGGATTCGAACCTGCGACCTGTCCTGCCAGCACAGGGGTTTAACCCACTGTGCCACCAGGGGCTCCTTGGGAAACACTGCGCTATACTGACTTCTTGCTACTCCCCAATTTGGTTCTCCCCATGGCCACTTTCAGCCAGATATCTATGTTATAATCAGAGTTGCAAAGACAGAAAATGGACCATTAAAAAACTCTTGGCTTACCACGCAGACACACGCTTCTACCTTATCATCCGAGGAACCCTTGCTCCACTGTAACACCATCTGGCGAAGCTTCTCCTGGTGCTCATTAAGCTTCTGTCCAGCTTCATTCTTCATATATTCAATCTGGAAGATAAAAGGGAAGGCATATATCAACAAACGTGCCATTAGTAGAACTCTACCTCCATCTTGACTTGCCACCAGCTCATTTTCAGTGGCTAGGGACATAGATAAGATCACAGACATTTGATTCTTCAGGGATCTCAAGTTACTGAAAGGGCATATGCTTAAAGAATCTGCCAGCCAGTGATTGTGGCTTAATTCCTTCCATCTAATTCCCAACATTCAGGCTTGGAATGTTGTTAGCAAACAAACAAAGTAAGGCTAACTCCATCAACAGAGGGGAGTTACTACGGGAACGCCCTAGAAAACATAATAACCGCATAATATGGCCTTTGACATTGACACAATATTCATCTAAAATCACTAAGATTATTTCAAAACATTGGCATTTACTACAGGACATTCCTGGATGCAAAGACAAACCTATAATTGCACACAAAAGATCCAGAAATTTAAGGGACCTTATGATCCATTCTGAATATAATTCTCCTACTACATCCCACAAACTTACCACTAGGGGTCACACTAGCTGTGGACACTGTAACTGTTGTCAACAATCACTCAAGATTAAAATATACTCTCATCCAACACTTAACATTAAGATTACCTTGCAACATTTAACAACATGTTCCACTGATAATGTAATTTACCTATTAGAATGCTCCTGCAAGCTATTATATGTTGGAATGACCACTAGACCCCTTAAAACCAGGATAAATGAACATCGTTCACGCATAAGGAATGGGTCCACTGACTCTTCACTATATGTACATTTCAATGAAAAAGCTCATACACACCATAGCTTTAAATTTTGCGCTTTAGAAAAAATATTACCCAGACCTAATGCAGATATAAAAAAACTCCTTCTGCAAAGAGAATCTTTTTGGATCTTTAAACTACAAACACTGGTTCCACAAGGACTAAATGACAAAATTGAATACACTTGTTTCTTGTGAAATGTAGTTCTACTTAAGAGGTAGCCTAGTTATGACTCATTGCTCATTATAGAACTCCTACCAGAACAGAGCCTGTACTACTGAAGAGAGTGAAAGTAGAGTAGCGTGTTTCTTTACTGTTATTATAGAATGTTTCTCTAGAAATGTGATTTTGGGAGTTTCATATATCTATTGTGTATGTTATTTTTACTCCTTTATTTAGTGCATTAAGTATAATGTGATAACAGACTACATCCTGAAGAAGATAATTATTCGAAACAAGGAGAACATACCGGGAGACCTTGTAGAAATTTTGTTGCCTGTTGCCTAAGAAGTACTCATTAAGACTGTGTTGCCAAAAGAAGAATTCTTTTGAGGATAAAGACAGAGACTGTTGAATTCCTTCACTGAAATCCGACTCCAGGAAAGGATGGACTTTATTATATTTAGTCTACTATTCATTGCTCTATGTTGATAAGATATTCTACATTTACTTATAATGTGCTGATAACATTACTGTTAAATGCTATAAAGTCTAGACAATTTACTCCATTAGAGAACATATAATCCTGATTTATATTACTTTCTTGAGAGTCTTATAAAATACACATACATACATTCTTGTTTCTATTTGGAATGTTGTTAACAATTTTATATAGCTGGACATATTTATTGTAAAATAACAAGTGCAATAAGTTTTTCTTCAGTCTGCATAGAAGTTATCTACTACCACAAATTTATTTTTAGGATATTCAGAAAGGGACAAATATTGTAAAGTCCCCAAAGTAATTTGCTTTATTTGCTTCCATCCTTCATAGCAGTTCAAGGATATTATCTATAACAAGTTGGATATCAGTTGAAAACATTCTCAGAATAAATACTGATCTAAAGTCATAAAACAAACTTATTTTCTTGCTTTAAGGGGCTTGGGATTTAAGTTTGAAGGCGTGATCTTTTTAAACTACAGATTCTAGAATCTCCCAACCAGCCTGGCTATATTAGCTGCAGGACTAAAAGATCTGCAGTTCAAAAAAAAAATCTAGAGACTTAAAGCACTAGCTATAACTTATATTTGGAAAATAGAGAAATTGTCCATCTTAACCTCCAAAGTGTTTGTAGGGTAGAAGCAAAGTTCTTACCAGACGTATAGTTTGCTCAATCTGGGCCAGAGTGCTCTGGATCCTTTGCCTGGTTCGTTTCAGCTTGTCTACAGAATGGCGGTAGGCCCTGTTGCGGAATTTGGCTGAGAGGGAGCCCAAGCGCACCAAATACTCTTCTCGTTCATTGTGCTGCATCGCCACAAGATCCCCGTTACTTACAGCTCTTGCAAGCTCAGCTAAGAAGAGAGAACCACAGAGAATGACAGTCTTGATGTCTCATGCATCCTCAATAACATCTGCAAGAAAAGATGCTTTCATTCCCTTTCATTCAAGACTTTTGTTTGAAAAGTCAAGGGACTTTGGGTACACTTCCACATGGAGTGTTCTATAGCAATGGGCAAAGTATGGGACACATGTGACCTTGAAAGACCACTATCCACCAATTGCAGTGATGCAAAAGTACTTAAACACATAGAAATTCAATGTAGACATACAAATGTCAGCAAAACATAGGACTGTTACATTTAAATTAAACAGAAATAATTTGTTCTTTACTAAAAAGATAAAAATCCTCTTCATATGTGTGAAAATAGTTATTGTGTCTTTACTACAGATGAGTAGATTCCAAAATCCTTGCACAGTTAATTGTCCTGTTTTCTTTATTACACAAGAGTGGACTCCAACATTCAACCACTTTCAACTCTCAGGAGTCTTCATCAGGTAGTTAGGTTTGTCATAAAAGCTCAATATACGAGACAAGTGGTCTATTAACTGCTCTTGAAAAGTGGATCAGCAAGTTCTTGTTAACCAGCATACTCTGTAAAGGCATTTTATTCTGCAACGAGTATGGATACTCGCTAAAGAAAAAAAAAGCCTTTGCAGAGTATGCTGGTTAGTAAGAACTTGTTGACACAAGAACTATTTTCACACACGTGAAGATTTTTTTTCATCTTTTGAGGAAATTCTATGTGTTTAGGTACTTTTGCATCACTGCAATTAGTGGATACTGGTCTTTCTAGTTCCAAGGAAACCCATTTTCCTTTTAAGTATTGTTCAAGCCTCACGTGTGACCCCTCCAGAGCCCAGGAGAAGGTCACTGTTGGGAGACATAGAAGGGAACAAATAAGAGTGGTGCATACATGTCCTTTCCATTCATACTCAGAATTTAGAAATGATATTTTTCAACAAAACTCCAATAATCTCCCTAGCATTCTGGGAACTATAGACCTAAATTCTTTCCTCAAGATTTTGTCACTCCAAAGTACAATACTTTGTAATGGGAGGAATGCACCCTTAACATTCCATTTGAATACCCATGCTGTTTTAGAAACTGTTACTTAGCTGCAAGACTATAAGACGCTTGATGTTTGGGTGACATACCCAGTTCTTCTTCAGTCATGGGAAGGTAGTCATCAATCAGTTCTTCGGCACTGTCCAGTATTGCGTCAGCCCCACTCACAGCAATCTGGCCCACTCTGGATTCCACCACAGTGGACACACTGTGGCCGATAGCAGACCTGGTTGCATCCATGCCAGTCTGCACAGCATCTTTGGTCATGTCTACAACTCCAGATATCTTGTTGGCAATAGCCTCCTTGGCACTGGACACCATCTCCTTTGTATTGGACGCAATCTACAAGGCAACAGAGATATTAGCATTTGAGCTATAGGATTATCCATCAAGGAAGTTGTTAAAAAAATAAATGCTATCATTCTGTTAGCTCTCTTTTCCATTTCATGTTGACATTAATGTCTCTGTTAGATTAAGAATGCTGGCCAAAGGACACAGAAGCTATCTTGTCCCTGCTCCCTTCTCCACTCAACCATCATAATCTATATCCATGTTATCCCTAAACAGAGACTCAAGACAATTTCTAAACATTAGCATTAACATACAAACACATGTACCATTGAGCAAGGACAGTTAAGGTGCATTAATTGCATTAATTCTACAGCTTCTATCAGACAGGCAGACAGGCAGGTAAGGATGGCAAGACCATCAGGAGGCTTCCCAAGGACCTCAAAGCTCAGGCTTACATGGGAGGAGGCAGCCCTTCAGATAACCTGCGCCCAAGCCATGTAAGCCTTTATAGATCTCCACCACCAGTTTAGTATGCCCAGAACAGTAATCAGCACAGATATTATAACAAGGCGTGTGTGCATTTCAAATATTCAGCCAAACACTCTCTCTAAACGAAGAGGAAACTATGAATCTTACTAAGGATTAGATCAACATACCTCATCTGCTGTCAAATGTAGAATTGGCAGCTTCTCCTCCAGAGTATCCAGACCTCTAGAAGCATACTCATTTGCTGTTGCAACTGCAGAGCACAGGTATATTTTAATCACTTTCTAGTGCCAATATGAGAAAACCAATGTGTTTGTAGAGCATGGAAAAATTTATGTGAGCTGTAACTTAGAGTCTTCAAGGCACAGTGACATTGGGGAATATAGTCCAAAAACTGTCCCAAATTTTTGTGTACTTCTTAATCTATATAAATAAAAATGTAATGTTTGTTTGTGGGATTAACATAACTCAAAAACCACTGGACGAATTGACACGAAATTTGGACACAATACACCTAACAGTCCAACGAGTGTCCATCACCCATAAACACACACACGCGCACGCAAAACCTCAAAGGAACAGACAGAGGCGGTCCGAGGTAATTTTCAATGGTAAGCAAACAGTATTTTGGCGCTTCCCCCAACCAATCACCGATATATATTTTCTGTTTGTCATGGGAGTTCTGTGTGCCATATTTGGTTCAATTCCATCATTAGTGGAGTTCAGAATGTTCTTTGATTGTAGGTGAACTACACATACCAGTAACTATAACTCGCATATGTCAAGGTCTATTTTCCCCCAAGAGTGCCCCTGAGCAAAATCAACTATACTGCAAATGCTTACTTTGCATAATGGGTTGAGCCGCCCCTGGGAACAGACTTAAAAACCCCAAAATACACCATATATGCACATGCACACATTCATACACACACGTATATATATGCACAAACACACAAATATGCACATATACATATACACATGCACACGCACACACATATACATATGCATATACACACAAATATGCATATAGACAAGCACACACATATACACAATATTCATGTACACATAAACACACAAATACACAGATATATACACCTATATATATACACACACAAACACATATACACAGACTGGGCCACATCAACATGTGGCAGGGGACAGCTAGTAAAGAATAACGGTACTTGTCATATCACAACCAGAACAGAACCCCTATATATTTGAATATTATTTGCCTGGAAAAGTGATAGAGTTATTACCCTTGTGTCTTACCTGTAGCTTTCCCTAGGTATTGACTTTTTCATTGTAGGTTGCTAGACTAGACAGGACTTTGGCCTGATCTAGCAGGGATCTTGGGTCTGTAGACCTTTGTTTTTATAAGGCTTAGTTTCCCAGTTTATTTACCAAATACTGAAGTAGCTAGTGGATTGTATCCTGGTCCTATAGAGTCCAAGGCTGTTTCAATTGAGTAGCAGAGTTTAAACATTTTAACTTGTTAAAGCTCAGAATAAATACACTCATGCATTATAAAGTCTAAGAAGATGATTACCTGTTCTGGATTATTATTAACTAAGGAAGAACAGCAATGGTTTCAATGTTTCCCACAGAGGTTACTAAAAAGTGAATAGACTGGACAACTGAACTAAAAAGGTTGATAGCATAAAGTAGATGTGCATCCAGGAATGGAGCACAAATCTCAAGGTTGGGTGTTTGTGTACTTGTGAGAAACCCATGTCCCAACACTTCATACTGATACCTGTTTGAGGAGCAGAGAAGAACACAAACTACATTATGACTGTTTATTCCCATGCAGGACTAGTATGCATGTTCCTTGGCAGGGGGTTGGACTGGATGGCCCATGAGGTCTCTTCCAACTCTTTGATTCTATGATTCCATCTCTAACCACATAAAACTGTAAAGCTGGATAAAAGCTCATTTTGGCTTACTTACTCTGGGGTTCAAGCTTATTCAGGATAGGCTGAGCTGTGTTGACTGCCACCTCTGTTATGGTCTTCACTCCTTTCTCAGCAACATCCAAGATGGATTTCACATAGGGGTGGCTATCCTTGGTAGAGCTGTAAGCTGTAGCAGCCATGTCATACGTGGAGCTGACCAAAGGCATGTTGGCCACTCTTCTCAAGACATTCTAAAAGTAGAGAAAGGACTGGGTATAATATATTAGAACAGTCCATACTCTAAGATGGGGAAGTGTAACAGTTCAACAGTCTCTGCTAAACCTTGGTCTCCTGCTCTAATTTTTTTTCTTTTTTAGTCAGCACAAGTGCCAGATGCTATAATTTGAGTGTTGGACTAGATTCATAAAACTGGTTTCAAATTCTCGTTTATTACAGAACCCGGTGGCACAGTGGGTTTAACCGCTGAGCTGCTGAACTTGCTGATCTAAAGGTCGCAGGTTCTAATCCGGTGAGCGGAGTGAGCTTCCGCTATCAGCCCCAGCTTCTGTCAACCTAGCAGTTTGAAAACATATGTGAGTAGATAGATACCACTCTGGTGGGAAGGTAATGGTGATCCATGCAGTCATGCTGGCCACATGACCTTGGAGGCATCTATGGACAACACCAGCTCTTCGGCTTAGAAATGGAGATGAGCACCAACCGCTAGAGTCTGACATGACTGGACTTAAGATCAGGGAAAAACCTTTGCCTTTACCTACAGAAACCAACTGGAGGACTTGGGCAAGTCACATTCTCAGTATTAGAGGAAAGCAAAGACAAAACACCTCAAAAAAAATATGCAAAGAAAAGTTCATGATATGGAAACTCCAGTCAAAAATGACCCGAAGGCACCTAATAACAGAAATGGTTGGTAGGTTTGCAGTGCTCACCTCAAAACCCAAGAGGAATCAGAAATTCTTCCCAAACTCCATTTTCTCATAAAGACATACCAACAGTTAAAGCAGAGCAGATTCAAACCATCATGCAGAATGGTACTGTTATAGCTGCCTACTGGAAACTAAAACATTATGATAGCAATACTTACTGCCTGGTTCTCATAAACTGACATAGGATTTTGTATAAAAAATTGTTTGAAAAATGAATTCAGTTTTCTGAGTAAACTGTTTTACAGACCAAATCTGATAATTTGATGCCAAACCAAATAATCTCCAACACATGTTATGTTCTTAAAGTAAAAAATACTGCAGGGTGCCAATAGTCCCTTTATCAAAATGTCTTTCTTCCAAAGAAAATTAAAAAACCCAAACATAAACAGACTGCTCTATCCAGCAAAGCTCCAACATTTCTGGGTATTTTACATCTTTAGTAACCCCCAGGGCAGAAGATCAGTTAAGAGTCTGGATGGTGACCAAGGAATGTTATAATAATTATACTTATACCCTGCTTTTTCCTTCCATAAGGAGACTCAACGTGGCTACCTTTGCTATTGACTTTCATGTCACTATAGGTAAGTTACTCTTTGTAACTTCAGTTCTCTTATCTGCCATATAGGATACTATACAGCTTTTATGGAGTTGTTCTAAGGATTACAACGTTATCATGCATGCATGCAGGGATATCCCACCTCGAAACTGAACAAAATTTCTCTGCCCCTATCTTCATCCTTCACTAGTTAATAACATTTTAAGTTTGCTTTTCATTCTGTTTCAGAATTAGCCTTCATTTGCTCAACCCTTCACCTCTATCTGCTTACAGACATCAATGACCCCGAGTCCTCTTATTGAACTTCCTCATTGGGTTCACCTGGCCACTGCCAATGAAAGATCCAACAACTGGGTTGCTGTAGGTTTTTTAGGGCTATATGGCCATGTTCTAGAGGCATTCTCGCCTGACATTTTGCCTGCATCTATCTGAGGATGCTCACCATAGATGCAGGCAAAATGTCAGGAGAGAATGCCTCTAGAACATGGCCATATAGCCCAAAAAAACCTACAACAACCCAGTGTTTCTGGCTATAAAAGTCTTCGACAATACATTGATCCAACAACTATTTGCCACTTCTCCATTTCAGCAGGAAGATGAACGTGTAGCAATAGAGAAGGAACAGCAGCACGAGAAGAATTCTAGAATTTGTTATCCAAAATAACCTTGAAGATCAAAAATAGGTTCAACACTTTACAGGGGTCAGATCGCCCAACTGATGTTTTCTGTCAGAGGAAGTGGAAGGTAAAGCTCTCAGATTAGCCCAGAGGCAAGAGGTCTTAAGCAACTTACTCTGGGTTTGCCGAATCTAGTCACACTCAGAGCTGCATCTTTAGCTTGACCTATAGTGGACTGGTATCAGTCCACTATATGGGTTATCAGTGGCAGAGCATGGAAAACAGTTTTGTACTATAACTCCTATAGCACCCATCCATTATGTGTGCAGGCATGTACAAAGCATCTCTAAATCTCTACATCAAATAGTTGAACTCTGACATATCACCACAAAGGAAACTTCAGATATTTCTTTGCATATCAATACCCTTCAAGGAACCCTTGTTGAATTATTCCTGAAATAACAGCTGCCACCATTAAAAGGTAGATAAAATCTTTCTCACAACACATCAGCCAAACTAGTGGCTGAATCCTTGACCCTTAAACTTTTGATATGGCATAGGAGGGTTCAATGTACTGCCTGAAAAAAGACTCTGCGTGCTGTTCATACTACCTCCTTCAATACATGTTCACTCACCTCTTGTCCAGCTTCCTTCACTTCCTGTCCAGCTTCTTGCACCTCCTGTTCAGCTTCCCCAACCTCATCCTGGGAGGAGACATTCACTTGCTCGTTGGAAGCCATTTGGTCTTGTAATCAGCAAAAAGACAAGGCTGGAAGACAAAAAGTCGTCAACAGTTTCTTCAACACATATAAACTGCAGTGCCAAAGTCTATGTTGGCCCAAAATGTCAGCTGCTCTGGCTTCAGTGAAAAGCATTGCCATAGTATTGAGATGTTTTGCTATCTCTAAGACCGCTAAAGCATGTAATAGTAAAGGTAAAGGTTTTCCCCTGACATTAAGTCCAGTCGTGTCTGACTCTGGGGGTTGGTGCTCATCTTCATTTCTAAGCCGAAGAGCTGGCGTTGTCCATAGTCACCTCCAAGGTCATGTGGCTGGCCTGACTATATGGAGCGCCGTTACCTTCCCGCAGGAACAGTACCTATTGATCTACTCACATGTAGCAGGAGTTGCCTCAGCAGAATTAGCAGAGTATAGTTTGAAAATAGGACTATGACCCTGGAGGCTAGGATTCAAATCTCAAATCTCTACTGGGTCACGGAAACCCACAGGATGACCCTATGGAAGTCACCCTCTCTCAGCCACATGAGGAGGCATATAGTGCCCCCAACAAATCTTGCCAAGCAAACCCTGTGATAGGCTCACCTAAAAACCTAAATGTCACACAACCGTAATATGCAGCTTAACAATATTAAAGCAGGATAACAGGGTGCATTTAATACTGCTGGTGTTTATGGCTATTCCAGTATCACTGCCTTTCTCTACATTGCATTCAGGCTTTTTAAATCTTCCCTCTCCACTTTTCTTACTGGGCAGATTAAATATACAATACTAGTTGGAAAGGGCTAGGCTCATGTAAGACTAAAATTGCCATTCAGTACGTACCAGTGCTCAGCCAACATGAAACTTAACAGACAGTGAAGTTCCATTGATCTCAGCAGCCCTTGCTTTTGAATATAAGAGAGTGCAAATAAGGGTGAGCTAAAATGTTTGTAGCAAGCATGTGTTTATTAAAAGGAGGTGACATTTTCATTTATTCCTCCATAATACCTATTGATGTTTCTGCTGAACAGATAGAAGACTATAGGATAGCTTCAGTTTGGTCATTGTTTGTTTTTTTTTTATCTTGAGCAATAAACAGCTATATAAAGTCTGCTGCTCTCCATATCCATTTAGAAACCTGAACTACAACTTCCATAGCCTCCAAGCCAAACTGCAGTCAAAGAAAGTAACTTTTTTATAAGCAGTACTCATACAGAGACTAGCTACAATACAGCAAAAGCTCCATTAAGCCAGATAAGAAGATAGACTAGAAAAGCAAACTCTCCAAACATTATACAAAATGATTTGTAATCTATGTACTACTCACACCACGCTAGCAGCCCATCTACTAATCCACTTACCTGGAGGTGATAAATCACAAGAAATAATTGAAGACAATGTCTACTCCCACCTCTATATACTAACAATGATGTCATGGAGGCAGGCCAAAGAGGTCAAGATTGACATTTGGAGGACCAATGAATAGAGCCTCACTTGTTCCTCAATCAATTAGGGATAAGAGGCACATGGAGTCAATGAGAGTCAGATAATGATCCTGGTAAACATTGACTGGAGATATAGAATCAGCTGTATTTAGGGTTTATTTATTGGACCACTTAGCAGTAAATCTCTGGTTTAGCTTTAAGCTACAATAGAATGCCATTAAAGTGATAGTTGCCGATACTCCTGTTTTTGTGGGCTTACAAGTTGTTATGGTGACCTTATTGCAAGATGTGTGTGTAGAGAGCCAGTGTAGTGCTTTAGTGTTGGAGTACAACTCTGGAAGCAAGTTTACCTCACTACCTCTGAGGATGCTTGCCATAGATGCAGGCGAAACGTCAGGAAAAATGCCTCTAGAACAATGATGGGCAATCTTTTGAGCTTGGTGTGTCAATACTTGCCAAAAAAAATGAGCATAACTTGGGTGGGGTGTCACTTCGAGAAAAAAACCATAATTTCATMATATTTATAGTTTAATAACAAAAATATATTATTGTAATATATAACTGTATTTAATAAACCAAAAACTAATTATTTAACTTARCTGCTTTTTCTWTAATGCCATATATCTTGGCATTATAGAAAAATGCTGGTGTAGGAGCRGAGGATGAAATGTCCTTCTTGGGATGCGGCCCCATCTTCTCTGTATGCAGTCGCATGCYACCGTGTGTCATCAAAAATGGCTACGTGTGTCAGTGCTGACACACGTGTCATAGGTTAGCCATCATGGCTCTAGAACATGGCCATATAGCCCYAAAAAACCCACAAGAACCTAAGTTTATAGTAGTTTGAGAATTGGAAACTCTGGAAGCATGGATTCAAATCCATGCTCAGCCACTGAAACTCATCTGGTGGCTTTGGATGAGTCACTCAGTCTCAAATTCAGAGGAAGTCCACGTCAAATCTCCTCTGAGTAAATCTTGCCAATCCCCACCCCCCTTGTGATAGAGTCACCAAGACTTGGAGGCAGACAATACACAGTTTTGGCAGATGCTTCATAAGGAAACACCAGAGGATGATCCAGAAGATAGTTAATCCAAAAATTGTGTTTTCTGGATACTTCACTCTATTACAAGTCATTGAAAATCCTGTGAGAGGTTTCCTCAGGATTGCAGTAAGTCAAAAACAGCTTGAAGGCACATAACAACAAAGAAATAAATTATATAAAATGAGAAGTTGTGGGCAATGGAAGCTAAATCCTATTTTCTCCCATTTGGAGGGGATACTACTTTTCTGTCTTTAACCCTTTTAGGACAGGAAGTATATCAACAATGAAGTTAACATGGCAATACAGTGTTAGGACAGTTGCACTTGTTGAGTTACACTTGCTGTGGCTTAAAGACACCAGTACCCTGCCAAAAGAAAATGTAGTATAATGTCTGTCTCAGGGGTCCCTTTACACTGCACAATTATAGCAATAAAATCCCACTTTAACCTCCTTGGCTATATCCTATGGAATCCTAGGATTTGTAGTTTGCAGATGATACCACTTTGATGGCTGAAAGTGAGGAGGAGCTGAGGAGCCTTCTAACCAAGCTGAAAGAAGAAAGTACAAAGGCTGAGTTGCACTTAAACATACAAAACCAAAATTATGGCAACCAGACTGATTGACTGACAAATAGAGGGAGAAAAGGTGAAGGCAGTGACAGACTATATTTCTAGGCGCAAAGATTACTGCAGATGCAGAGTTCAGCCAGGAAATCAGAAGATGTTTACTTCTTGGGAGAGAGCAATGACCAATCTCAATAAAATAGTGAAGAGCAGAGACATCACACTGGCAATGAAGATCTGCATAGTTAAAGCAATGGTATTCTTCACAGTAACCCATGGATGCAAGAGCTGAACCATAAGGAAGGCTGAGCAAAGGAAGATAGACACTTTTGAACTTGGGTTCTGGAGGAAAATTCTGAGAGTGCCTTGGACCATGAGAAGATCCAACCAGCCCATACTCCAGGAAATAAAGCCCGACTGGTCACTGGAGGGAAGGATGTTAAAGGCAAATATTAAGTACTTTGGCCACATATTGAGAATATAGGAAAGCTTGGAGAAGATAATGAGGGAAAAGGAAAAAGGAAGAGGCACCGACCAAGGGCAAGATGGATGGATGGCATCCTTGAAATAACTGGCTTGACCTTGAAGTTGCTGGGGGTGGCCATGGATAACAGGGAGCTCTGGCATGGGCTGGTCCATGAGGTGATGAAGAGTCAGAAGCAACTGAACAAATAAACAAGACATACAAACTCTTTGGCAGCGTACTCTAAATTGCTGTTGTTATTGTGAGGCTTCAAGGTGTTTCTGATAAATGACGACCCTAAAGCAACTCTATCACAGGACTTTCTGGTGTTGAGTGTGTGAGTTGCCTTGGATCATGCAATGGACTTGCCATGGCCAAGCAGGGATTTCAGCCCTGGTCTCTAGAGTTGTATTCCAACTCTATATAAATTGAAGAATTTCAGAATTCCATGGGATTGCCATATAATCACAATGCTATAACTGTGTAATGTGAAAAGGTCCTTGGGAGATTCCACCCTTCTCCTCTGCAACTCAGCCTACACTCAGAATCTTTTGACATCATAAAGTAAAGGCTCAGGAGCCCTGTTTGAGTCTTGGTGTTTCAACATATTGCTATGATATGTGGAACCAAGAGTGGAAACCCACTGGCATCAGTAAGGCTGAATTCAAAGAACATTTGGGCAGCTTCATTCAAGTGGAGCTGAAAGCAGAAGTTTGGAACTCAAATTATCAATTTATTTTAGGTGTTTACTGCCTTAGTAAAGGTACGTCAAAGCTTTAAAATGGGGAGGGGGGAAGTGAGGGACTGTAGAAAAGCTGAGAAACAATAATGGTGCCATGGAAAAGGATATACTGTATATACTTGAGTATAAGCCTAGTTTTTCAGCCCCTTTTTTAGGCTGAAAAAGCTCCTCTTGGCTTATACTCCAGTCAAGGTTATGTATTCTTTTACTTTGCTATTAGTATTATTTTATTACATTTATTATTTTACTCTATTATTATTCTATTTATTATTTTGCTCTATTATTATTATTATTATTATTATTATTATTATTATTATTATTACATTTAGAGTATTTTACCCTATTATTATTATTATTATTATTACTACATTTATTATTTTAATCTATTTATTATTGTTATTATATTATTATTATTATTACATTTACAGTATTTACCCTATTATTACTACATTTATTATTTTACTCTATTATTACTGTTTTTATTGCATTTTCATTATTTTACTCTATTATTTTAATTATATGTATTATTTTAATAATAAGTACATTGTACTTTTACATTTACATTGAAGGAGGTTAGAATAATGGTTTAATAAGAGTTGGATAGTCTTATCTTACAGTTTTATGTAAATATTCAGAAACATTTAGCTTATTGATGCCTCAGTTAATGTTATTTTATTGGTATCTATTTTTATTTTGAAATTGACCCATAGTGGATGCATTTTCCACCCTCGGCTTATACTCGAGTCAATGTTTTCTCAGTTTTTT